ATTGACACCCACATTACATAAAAATATATATGCAACTGTGTCAACTATTGTCATCATATCAACCTTTCCCATTGCTTTTCTAATAAAGCTATCATTACCGTTATCACTTTATTTTATTGAGTGAGAAGAGTGTTATGGCTATTTTCAGGTGTTACGACCTATAGCACTGCGACCTACATACATAGATTTATTGTGCTCGCCAAACCAACTAACCAAACAAATAATTTTTAGTGTGATCTATATTATTAGTACATGAAGTAAAACCTTGGTACTCCTTTTTACAAAAATTACTCGGACGGAGGAATATGAAATTTCGCACAAAGAAAACATTATATTAACTATCATAGCAAAGTTGACATAAGTAAATAAATAGTTATTTGAGGAATAAAATAAAACAGTCATAGTTATCAAAGCAGACCAGTCCATATAGGCAGCACCCGTTCATTAGTATAATAGATAAGCCAGCCTTATAGACTAATAAATAATAAATTCAGTTAATTTTCTTTCTAATTCTTTCAAATGAATACCCTTTACTCCAGGGAAAAAATATTAATACAAAATCTTTACTGACATAAGTTACTATAATATCCTAAATGAATAAATTATTTTTAAACTTGAGCTTCAATAAATTCCTTATTTATTAAAATTCAATCGTAATCGTCAATTTAATCGTAAACTGGAAAGATTAACCGTATTTTCAAGTAATGATTGAACTAGTCTCCTCCTCAATATGTAGGTACTAGAGAAAGGTGGCTTTTCCTCTACCCTGTGGTCCAAGGTAGTCAAGAACATAACCTTGCTCTAAATTGAAAAAGGCTACCTTCATTACCAACGGGTTGTCAAATGATCAGTTAATCAATCAATCGGGAAAGTCATGTAGCGCCAACGGTAACTTATGTTTAGTTATAAATTCAAACCGGTTAGAACAATCTCAATATTATTACACATACGGTTTCATTCATTTGTATTTACTATTAGCTGTGCTCGGCGGTTTCGCCTGCAGATGATTTTGATTGATCATTCAGATTTATTTAAAAGAAATTGACGAATATTACTTAGTTCATTGTGTCACCCTCTCGTGCAATTTTTTTCTTTTGCGCTTAGTGTTTTTTTTTACTCGAGTCCTAAGGATTCTACCGTAATATTTTATTACTTATAACTTTCTTTAAGAACTGGACTATTAAATTGCACATACATACATGTTAACTTGAATTAATATATTTTTAATTTGTATAGATATACCTATCAGCGGCCTGTTCCGTTTTCGCTGTTTTGTGTAAAGTTACTGATTAGTAACTTTACAAAAAACCTCAACGAATTACTAGCATAAACCGCTATTGAAAGCAATTTGTTGATGGACGATAACCGCATGAAAATCATTTAAATAGTTTTTTAAACATACACACAGGCACGACGGAGAACTTTATATTATAATATGTTTGGATAAATCAAATTATCTTTATTAATGTAGTGAATTAATGAGAATGAATGTGTAGTAATAGTAAAATAACGAAAGTGTTTCCAGTCATGTGTTAACATATGTGTATTACTTAATTATTTATGGAGTGGTATACCCAAAGGGGTCTGTACAAGGTCATCTGATACCTCTGTATCAATATTCATACCTCTATTTGCATATATCTACTTGTTACTTTTGTGTATGGATTTAATGGCAGATAAACACTTAACAACTTATTTATCACGAATAGCAATATATGAGCGTTACATAGAATTGCGACTTGAAATGGGCTTTTCTGTGTTAAATAATATTCTACATTGCAGTTCAAAAATATTTTTTATAGGCTGGTCGTCATATTCGTAAACGGATGCTGATTGATGTGACTGGTCTGTTCGGGTTGTGGACTCTGATTATACTATTTCTTTTTGATAAAATTGCAGTGGCATGTGGGTTACACTATTTTCCCAAATTTGAATTGAAAAATGGATTTTTGTAAACATGTACAAGCTCATTTGACAAGAATGAACGCTGAGTTTCTTGTTAGTTCTTCTTAGCTCGAAAGAACTTCGAAGTAATAGTAGACTTGACATATCATAAGAGTCTTTAATAGACCTACAGACATTTAGATATTTTTATATTTGAACCTAATAATCTTCAATATTTGTCAATACATACATAATAAACAACTGTACAAACAATGATATTAATGAATACAAATACTTTGTACCGTGCGAAGAATCGAACTCGTAACCATCAAAGGTAAAGTAGTATAGACCATCGAGGTATTAATTTGACTAAAATTGCAATATAAAATGCTCAGAATAATGTAATCCAATGAAATGCTATATTACTTTCGTTTGTAAACGCAATAATCGACTAACCCACATTTCGACGCTATTAAATACACGTAATACAATAGATCACCTCATCTTCAGCTGTTACATAATGAGAAAATTATAAGGTTGGCCAACTAGATTGCCCAACATTATCTATACAAAGGTCGACTCACCGATCGGGTGTCTCTCGTATATTCATTGCTTCACGAGTCAAACTTAAATATTTTGCAACTTTTGCAAGTCCATTGTGAAACAGCAAAGCGCGATGCATTGCAGGAGGAAATAAGTGTCTATACAAGGTGTACCTATATCCTATGATAGACAGATCTATAGAACCTTGATTGTGGACCTTGGTACTTTTCTGTTGTCCATCCGTTCTGACATCACCAGCTATGGTATTTCCGAATCAATAGAAAGAAAAAGCTTATTCCGTCTTAAAAGGCACGCAACACATTTGTTTCTTATGCTTTAAAAAAAAATTGAAGAAAACTTTGCGTCTTTTCCATGGACTTCATTTTTACCAATATTAATTCAAATTCAAAATATCTTTATTCATGTAAGTATATTACAGACTGTTATGATATGTCAAATCTACCGTTAGTTCGAAATGATTTAGAGATGAGAAGAACTGACATGAAACTCAGCTTGTATTCTTTTTAAATAAATGTTATACATGTTTACAATAATACAGATTCATTTTTAAATCCAAATTTGGGAGAATAGAGTGATCACCATCATATGCGAATATTCTAATCAGAGTTCGTAACCACCGTGAGATATTATTAATTTGTTTTTATATATCAATCTCTGAAGAATCATTTAGAAATATACTAAATTGGCAAACAAACTTTTATACTGTTTATGTTGATAAAATTTGTCAAAACTCAGAAACATATTATTCATAAAAAAGTTATTTCAAAAAATATGTTCTCAAATGTGCATACCAATACGTTAGAAATTATAAAACAACTGAGCGCGATTCCTTATAAAAATTCTATATAATTAACCTTACTGAATTGCGCCAAGTTCAATCAAAACCTGTATATGGTGTTGGAAGCACAGTGACCTGCTTACGTAGGGGACCTTACAAGATATGCGCCCAAGCTTCCTAAACTGTGCCATGGACACTGACCACGTGTAACAAGTCGAGCCAGGCTATAGCCCAAAGCCTACATTGGTTTCCCGTGACGGCATGACTCGAAATCAGTGATGCCTACCGTACAATAATTCTCTTACAAATAAGAGATTTGTGGCTTCTGAAACAATGACATTTTTATCAAATCGTCGTATCAAAATTTGACCTACAATAATCGATCAAAATATGATGTACGAAGTTAAAAGGCCAAGTTGAGCTAATGTACGAGACAATATCATAATATTGTTTAAATCTTACCCATTAATTATTGATTACTAAGCCAGCAATCATTACGTTGAAGCATATAACAGTTTATGTCATAATCCATCCCGTCTGGTCGTATAGTTCATGGTTCATATAGGAAGGTATAATGAAGTAAGTACAGTAGATAGATCCATTACGCCATAATCGACCGCGTGCCGTCAGCAATATGGCGCATCAATTCATATGTTATATAATTATTTACAAACAGCATACATTCGTTCTACCAATAACGCATGTCTTCATCAAAAGCAATTTCATCTAAAGAAATAAAAATGTTAAATATATTTCACAACAATGTTCTTTAGTCTTTTTAGATTGGTAGTTGCGGCTTTTAGAATTCATAACAAGTAAAAAAACAAATCCACATTGTGGTTTATTCCGAGGTTCGAACCCCTAGCGGTGCCCCCTATGGTATCCGTCAGGCAGGAGTTTATCTTCAGCCGCTCCACATGTCCTTCCACGTGTTTGGAGTGCCATCTGCACGTGTCCCTATCGTTCGGTGAAGCTGTAAAAGCTAGCTGCGGTCAATAGCATTAGAATAGTCCGAAAAAAATTTTGTTTATCTGTCTGTCAATCATAGCACCAATCAAAGATAGGTATGATTAAAATTAGACAATATATTATTTGTTGATTTTGGCTGTTATACACATAATCGAAATAAACTTCTTACAAAGATGTATGGCGCTTTGATACTTTCTTCTTCAATTTCCTGCCGCAAAATCGCTGGATAAGTGTGAAATGTAGGAAGTTGTCCTCAGGAATATTAGTGCAAATAAGGATGTTTCTTTTCTGTCAGGCGGTCCGGTCGGTAGGGCAGTCTGATAATTTGCTATAAGTAAAAATAATTAGACTCAGATTATACAGCAATGCTGCCTGTTTGAACTCAGATAATTTATTCCAAAATTCAAATCAGTATTTTTTTCTCAGTACTTATAACTATTTATTTGCTTTTATATATACTCTAAGAAAACGTTGAGAAATATATCTGTTTCCGATGCATCGATGTCAAAGGCCAAACAAAATGTTTTTCTGAGATACATCCATATACACCGATATGAATTATTAGTATAAATATATATATATTATTGGATACATACATATTTATGTACTTACTTGAATTAACTACCTATATACATAATCGTTCATATTGCAGAATTAACAGAAAATGCTCATGCATCATGCATCATGCCACTGCATGCCTTCGAAGAGGCCTATGTCCAGCAGTGGACAGCAGTGGCTAATGAAGACGATATATGTAAAACTCTTATGTGATTATATAATTAAAGATATCTCTTCTTTGTTACAGACATGTCGCGTAGACTCGTAAAGAGGTATTTGACCGAAGCTGACGTATACCAGTGCCCTCTGTCAGAGGAAACACAGAAAATTGCCCAGGAACAGCTCAGAGAGACGGAGAACTCCAGATCACAAGCCCTCACCGCACTAAGAAGCTGGTTGGAACAGAACCCTAAGTTTATGTCTATCAGATTGGGTAAGTGGGCCTTATAATCTATATCTAATCTAATCGATTTTCTAGAATTTCTCTGTTACGCACAACTACACAACCATATTGTGGAAGCATCTTCCAGCAATGGTATTATATATTCCAAAGCGATACGATATTGAAACCTTCAAGAAAAGAGCTTATTCCTTCTTGAAAGACCAGAAACACAATTTCAATTATCCTGGTGTTGTGGGTAGTCATGGGCGGCGGTAATCACTTACCATCAGGTGAGCCGCAAGCTTATTTGTCCTCTATACTTTAAAAAATGGTTCTTATGAAGTTCGGGATTACCTAATTACAATATATATTTTAAATAACAGATGCAAGCTTTCTTCTACGATTTCTGCGTACCAAGAAGTACAGCGTGCCGATGGCCCAGGAGGCAATCGAAAGATACATCCTGCTGCGCCAGTCCTGGGGTATCGCCTTCAACCAGCTCGACTACAAGCTACCCGTGATGATGGAACTGATCGACCTTGGGTAAGATATCATAAATTTATAATTACTAGCCAAAAATTTGTTATGGAATCGTTATGATTCTTTTACACCTCTGTTTGTCACGGCGCTATATTTAACAAACTAGACTTAATAAATATCTAATAATATGTATTTGTAAATTGGAATATTCTTGAACTTCGTCGAGAATTCTTAATAGTAAATTACAAGATATTAATAGAATAGACAAACAAATAGCTTGAAATTGCATATTAAGAAATCATACATTTTATGTTTGTCTGTCAATACGATTGTAAATGTCAAGAAACGGCTGAAAAGATTTTCTATAAAATTTCACAATAAGATAGATTATAGGTACCACTAGTACAGACAGAAGTTGTCTTTTATCTCAAAAAACTATAACTTAGACAAAGACTTGAACTGTGCTAAGTGATTAATAATCTTATTTCCATTTGTTTTAGGTACATTTTTGTGAGTCCGTTCAAAGACAAAGGCGGACGGCGAGTTATCATATACAGGCCCGGTAGATATATCTTCATATGCTATCTACGGATATGTATACACATATATCATTACTATATACATATAAGTATTGAAGTATGTATTAACATTTACGATTTAAATTTATATCTATACATTATCATCCTTATTTTTATCTATCTATTTATACAAAATCATCTGTTAGTTATGACGGTTCAAAACAGCTCATTATCGAAATCTAGATTACGCAAAGTCTAGATTAACTAACAATTTAAATTCTCAATATTGCCAAATATGTTTTATGTAACTGGAAAAAGCACTGGCAATGATCAGTGGTAAACGTCGTCTAACCTGGTATTTTCATAGTCTATGGTAACCGTTTACCATTAAATAGGCCGTATGTTTGATTGTCTGGTTGTATCGTAGTATTGAAAAAAAAAACGATAAATGCTTATTATTATTATTATCATATAACAGCTCTTTGGACATCACGTAAACATGTGATATCCACTCCGGAGGAGTTAAATATTCTAATGTGTCTCCACTTGTCTCCCTTTCAACTGGAAATTTGTTTAAGTTCAATGTATCGTAAATAACAAAAATACAGGTTACAAACTCATCTGTCTTAAGAACACCAATATACGCCACTTTTAGTGTTCATGAATAAGATTAATATTATCGTGGCATATTTCTAAAATTTAGTATCAATTAATTATCCTTACGTAGGTATTACGTATATAACATCCAACTATAAATTCAGCCAATTTATTCACAATAACGAATAAATTGCGTATATATAACACATATTGCAATGTCAAGGCAATATTATGTTTATGATATATTTTCATTAACATCTATTGAAATAAATTTACATATTAATTCATTATATGTGTTTTATAATATTTTGCAAGTAAAATTTATAGTTTAATATTCATAATAAACATAATACTATAAATTAAAGATAATCTGTACCAATGTCAACATTGTTCATAGCGAATTCGTGATATAATATACTTATATGATTTCATACATAATTCATTCTTTTATATCGATCTAACCAAATAACCGGAAGGTTAATTTCTGGCTAATTATACAGGAACTTATTAATTTAAAAAGAAATAAAATAAACTTTGTTATTGTAAACATCTTGAATTTACAAACTTAGTATATGTATACATATATTGAATTAGTTATAAAGTACAAGTAATAAATATACGTATATTTATCTAATACATATGGATAGTAGCTACTCATGAAACTAAGTAACTTTTCTAATAATCAAAAGCAATTATATAAAAGATGAAAATATTTGTGTTAAATCATTCACTTTATGGTGCGGTTTGTGTTATTCCATTTTTTTTAAATATTGTTTTTATTAAAGCCTCTAAGATCTGATAAACTATGAACCGTGCGATATTTCTTATCTCAGACGATAGATCGTATTTATTATCTGAGACTACTGTCCATGAGATACCAACACATTATATATGCTCAACAGTAATGCACCGCTCATACTCATTCTTGCACCCAATTTATGTCAAATATCTATGTATTAATACTTATTACATAAATAATATATTTATCTCCATAACGCAGTGGCAGCAGCTAGCAGTACAATCGTACCGATCCCAGTTTGATTTTCAGTTGGTCAAATTTACGTACAAACTCTCGAGATCCAGTTCGTATACTTACTGGTTTTCGGGGATATATAATACTTCCAAACATTACCTCTTTGTTTCCTTCTAATGTAAGAGCCGCAAGAATCAAACCTCAAACCGACTGTACTTCGACGATGTGGTGAATGAAACATTAATCATACCTGCATTATGTTAAAAAATTAAAATCTAACATGGTATTAGGCCCTGGTGTCATCTCTCAGACTAATTTAGTTTATTATCGATGGGAAATCCATCACCAGGAACTTAGACAGTTATTGAAATTAACTTGCAGGGTTAGTAAATCTTATGTGATTCAATATGTTACAATATGTTATGCAATTTACGTAAATTAGAAGTAATATAATACATATTACTTCTAATTTACTTAATTTATACTTACCGCAATTTATAAAATTGTATTTTTGTTTGCAAAGACGAAGATTTAATTTCATATTGTATTTCTATTGAAAAAACAAAACGTATACATATTATTTGTTTAAAAACAAAATAAAGTACAAATCCAGCATTGCTAATACCTTCTCTCTGTCAGGTGTCTTCGACCCGTACAAGTATACCAATCAGGACATGTGCCGCGTTATGGGTATCTGCTTCGAAACCCTGATGGAAGACGAGGAAAACCAAGTGAGGGGGCTGGTGCACTTCGCGGATGGAAGTGGAGTCAGCTTCCCACATCTTACACTGTTCACACCTAAAGAGGCTGTGAGAATTGTAAAGAATGGCGAGGTAAGTAAAGTTTAAATAGAGGTTTTGAAATAGTAGAATAAGTATAATGACATAAATATAATTTTATTTTTATATTGGATCAAATTTCCAACCAGATCATTTGCGGAGAAGGTAGAGAGAAATGAATGCCATTGGCTTCTGTACATGCAAATAAGTCTAACTTTATTAATATTCATAACTCGCCTCATGCAAGCTGGATACTTAAGTGAATTATCAATTTTCTGACGCCTAGACCTTTATCTGGGCAAGCGAGCAACTAAGTTCTATGGGCTATATCTAAATTTAATTGGTAAAGTATATTTGCAGCCGTGCCAAGTCAGGGCAGATAGCTAGTAGTACTAGACAGCTGGTAATAAATACTTAGATACATTTTTTCACACAGGTAATATACATTGAAAACACCGGATGTGATAAAATATTACTCATAAATACAAATATTTGTATTAGGAATCGAACCCGCAACCCTCCGATGTCGTATGTACCTATATTGTATATATTTTTGATATTACAGAGAACCATTCCAATGAGACACAAGGAGATATACGGCGTCAATGTCCACCCAACCATTAAGTTCGCGCTAGATTTTGGTATGGCCCTCATCTCTGACAAGATTAAGAAGCGAGTGAAGCTGTACAGCTCCCCGGAGGAGGTAGAGATTGAGAAAAGATTGCTGCCCAAAGAGTACGGTGGTGTCATGCCTATGAGGGAGATGATAGGTAAAATTTTTTTTATTCTTATTGTTTTTAAAAAAAGGATCTGAAAAGAGGAAATTGTACTAAATGGTAGTCGTATCTATAAAAAACACTCCCAGGAGAAGGAACAATGATCTGGTGATATGTGGAGTCAAGAATGGCACTTATGGAGTGGAACGTGTGCCGACCACTAGATGAACCAGCGGAGAATCACACACGATAGAATGTATTAGGGCTTATCCAGTAAACAGTAGTAGATGAAGGCTTAAATTATGGATAGCAGGACTGTCCAGCGTACTACTAATATTATAATAATAATAATAATAATAATATCTCCGGACAATTCACACAGCGCCATCTAGTCCCAAGATAAGCAGAGCTTGTGTTATGGGCACTAGACAACTGATATAAATACATGGATACATTTTTTTTGTAAATAAATAAATATTATACATAGAAAACACCCAGACCGATACAAACAATCGTACTCAAAAATACAAATGTCCACCATCGGATAGTAAAGCGGTGTGCTAAACCACTAGACCACCGAGGCTGTCGATCGATTATGAAAGCTATTTTATATTATTTGTTTTAATATTATTTTTCCCTACCGTCCAGTTCAGTAAACAGATTCAATTGAGAACTGGCAAGAAACTTGTGAATTTAGTTTATTTTAAAAACCATTTTGTTTATATTGTTTACTTATAAAGGTCTATGTCTAACAGTAAATGTTATTAAAATAGGTACTTAGTATTTTTTAACAAACACTGTTCACGATAAGTTCGGATATGCTTGCTATGCATAGACATAGCAAGCGTATCCGAACCTATCGTGAATGTTGTATACGGATTTTAATTGAATATTTTATTTCAGATTTGTGGAAGGTAGAACTTGAGAAGAATCGCGATATCCTGCTGTTAAATGACAAAATGGCTGTCCGCCTGGAAATGTACACTGAAGCAGCTCGAGAGGGCGCCGTGTCTGCTCTGAGATCCGGCGCCAACACATGCGCAGGCGCAGACGCCGTGGGGGATGCGATGAGAGGCCTGACGGGGAATTTCAGGAAATTGGAAGTAGACTAAATTTGACTGATTATTATTATAACTATTAAGTTATAGTGGAATAAGGTAGTGTAAGCTTCTGTGAGACAGGGTACAGCGGGATTATCTCGCCGACTGGAGACGGTCAATTGACTTTTGAAGACGACAATTGAAGTTTTTAGGGTAAAGGTTTAGTGTTGAGAAATATATTTTTATAGCCTATGTAATAAAGATGACAGGTCTTGATGCAGATCCATAGGCTATGGTAAATTCTGAGGTACCCAATAAAGCCACCCAGTCCGTCAGTCATGAGCAGTGTTGCTAGATTTAATCTAATAATGTTCCTACATCTTGGATATTTCTTCGTATCCGCTAGTTTTCTTTCCTGATCTAATGATCTTTGTTATATTTTTCCGGAACACTTTTCTATACCTGGCAGCACTGTTTACTACTGATGCCTGAAAGATTTACCTGTAGTATTAAATCTTCTTGTGTTATATTTAGTATGTAAAATCCATGACACCGCACTTGTATACCTACGTTAGGTATAAGGTTATTAATAAATTGTTTATATAAAATAAAATGCGACTATTCTTAGAACCCTTGCTCTTACCAACCGATGTTCGCTGGAGTAGACGTTTTCTAGAATGAAGACCCTCGAATTGGGTCGTTGCCCAGTGGGCGTGCCTTGGGAGAAACTAATGTCCAGGAGTGGACTGTGGACAGTGGGCTTATGATGATTAAAACCCTTTATAGTTTAATAGGTTCTTTATTAAAAATCCATTAACTACCTAAACGGTAGAAATTAATACATATTAAAGTTTTCACGTCATCATATAAAAAACCAATTGTTACATGAAATTCAACGATTACAGCGCGTTCCAACAAAACAACATCAAAACCAGGTATTTTATGACCTAATTGTGATCGATGCAAGCATAGAGCCTCCAATACACGGGCAAAATATAATTAATAGTGTTCGACCAAAGCTTCTCAGTTTCATTTCGTTACAAAACAAAATTGGTTAAACGTCAACCAAAACTACTCACATAGTAATTAATTACGTTTTTAATAGAAAACAAGTAATTTGGACGAAATAATGAATGCGAATGAAATAATGTAAAATTGAATATCGAATTTAGAAGGAGAATCAACTTTTTCGTCCAGTAAACATTCGATTTCTGTTCTAAGACATAGTTTTGGTCCGAACACTAACCATCATTTTGTACTAATAAACATTTCTTAATTAGATTATAGTAATATACATTAAGTTATCAGACACAATCTTATAATATCATCATTGCTCTCACCCGGCGCAAAATTCTTATTCGATCCGTGTATGGAGGCCTTTAGAATTTGTACACATTATTATGGCACGTAAGTTATAGTATTCATGTATACTTAAATATCTGCGTCCTAGTTATTACGGTCAAAGGCTCAATAACAAACACTGGACATATGGCACTCGAGCATAAAGCCACACAAAGTAACCTCCAATATGCAATAATATTTAATAATACAACTAAATAGCAATTGAGTTATATGTAAGTACATAAGAATAAGTTTTCATCAAAAATGAACATGATTAAATCGCTTAGAAAATTTATTGGCGCGAATATTGATGTTCACATACGATTTTCTTACCATTGTTCAATGATGTAACAAAAATACTTATAGGAACTCATTTAATGAACAGAATTGAATGGTCGGTCGAGTTATTCGAACCTCAGGATATAGATAATATTAATCGAAACACTTGTATTTACTTAGTCGTACAGTATTTTTTTAATTTATATACGCAATCATCTAAAAATACTAAGAGTCTTCACTAGCATTTTTCTGCTATAGGCTTTCAACTTACAAGTCATAATCTTTACGTTCAAACTAGCGCTGAGTAAACGCTTATTGTAATAAAAAGTTGACATAAGTACAAGTGTTCTGAATAAGATTATGTATATGTATCAATTCCTTCATTTTAGGCAATTAAGTACATTAAACGACAGGTCTGGTGTCATTGTAAGCCGTTAGTCATGAAAGATGAATAATTGAAGGGCTTAAATATAATTTAACAATTACAATTATTTGTAATTGTTTTACATAATCAAATTTCTTGAGACACAACAATATCTCTACGTTAATTTTCAAGTTTTCAGTCTATTAATGCCCAGACTACGGTAAAACTGACACTAAACCTATCATTTCAACTGGCAGCCAACTGACAATAATGCAACAATATGCATCATTCTTAAGTGCATTGTTTAAATAAGATACAAAGACCGATAATTTTAAAGCTAAATACAAAAACCTAGCATAGTCTTTATTGCCACTAAATAGGTTCTACTATTGCTTGTGATTGCGTAAGTTTAGAACGTAGACCTTATTGCACTGCAAATTCCTGTCAAGATAAATCATTGCGAAGCAAATTCTATAGTCAATTATAACATATAATTGAGCAGACAATGTTGTAAAATGCTCAGGATTGCAAATAAATATATATTTAAAAAAAGCTTTAATTTAACACAAACTATTGGTATTACAGTATTTATTACACCTACAACACTAGGCACTTTAATGATCAAAGAATAGAAACTTAAATACACTGTTCTATAATATAATATAGTATCTCTAGAACATACCTACATTACAATTATTTCCATTTTCTTCGGTTTACAGTGTTTTAATTGTACAAAACAGATTCTAAAGAGATGAAACGATTTCAATGGATCTACACAATGTTTGAGAAAATCAATCTTACTTTTGTACGCAAATAAAATTACAAACGAGTATAATTAGAAGTGTTTCTCATTACATTTATAAAGAAATATAGGAAAGAACAATCAACAAAAATTAAAACATCCAAGTAAAGTCAGGTCAGTAAAATCCATCCTAACCTTTCAGAACTTAGCTTCACTTTTATATTCAAACCATTTTGGCAATTGGCGAGTTAACGGTTAAACGAATATACTATAAATATTGGTAGACCTTGGGAAGACGCACAGAGGTTACTTTATTTAGCCGCCATTTGGTCCTGACCACGTGGACTGTTTTTTAATTAATGTATGACAAATAAAAATGATCCATTGAAATACGATATCAAAATAAATATATGACTTTAGTTTTATTATCGTACTAGCTGAGCTCGTGACTTCGTATACAAATACGTTTTTGTTTGTAAACCGATTAGAAAAAAAAATAAGTACTACATTTTAAGTGAAATTTACCACAAACCACACTCAAATCTCTTAAGCCGTTTCTGACTGACAAAAACAGACAAAAGTTCTAACAATCAATGTTTTGAGTTCTATTACGTCGATATCAATCTTTCATTTACAGACAGCTATCAGTTACATTCTTATTATATGTATAGATTAGACTTTTATCGTATTAACAGTAAATTTTACTAAATCTTTCAAATACAAAGCTTAAGTATACGTTTATATATGGTGTTTTAAATTATACTGCATATAAATTATGAGGTTGTATAGAATCATGTTCAATTTATTTATAATGCTGCAAACTGAATTCTGGAATTACTTAAGATTTTTACTAGTCGACATTTTTTAAATACAAACAGGTCAAATGACATGTGTAGGGACCGAATTTTCAAATTTATTGTAACTTCAAAAAGTATGTTTTTATCTGACATATTGCATGTTTGTTAGTGCAGCACAATAAACTTGTTTCGTGCATGTAAATTTGAAATTAAAAATGAATCTGTATTATTGTAAACAATATATGAAAAGAAGAGCTGAGTTTCATGTCAGTTCTTCTCATCTCAAAATCACTCCGTACTGACAGTAGTTTTGACATATCATAAGTCTGTAATATACCGACATGAATAAAGATATAGTATATTGTATTGATATATATAAGTTGAATTTAAACATATTGTTTTTCTGTTGTAGAAATTATAAATTTTTATAAATTATTTGCATTATAATTTTATACACCATGTATAAATTAATTATTAACTAATTACATCAACTAATTCAGCATCAATATTAGCACACTTACATTAGTAAATTCTCCCTTACAACGCCAGTTACAAATTACTATTAAAATTAACATTATTAACTTAATAAATCATCTAATGCATTCATGTTATTAGTACTTAACTAAATATAATTAAAATATTAATAAAAATTAATCTATATAAAATATCTAACAAATAATTATAATATAGTATAATCAAGTGTTTGTAGTAAAAATGCTTTGGCACATACATTGGCATTTCGTTACAATAAAAATATTTTATTTATGTGCAAAACATAATAGCAGTCTTATGTTATCTGTAACGTGACATCCCATTCACCGTCTACCAGTGGTTTGAGTAACCAAGTCTACCAGTAAGTAGTCCGAGTAACCAAGTCTACTAGTAGCTTAGGTGACTAATGCGGTTGCTGTCACTGTAACTGTTGAAATTCACAAGAATCCAAACCATTTTTTTATCTTTTTGCATTTATATTCTATCATTCAAATTTGCAATAGGCGATTGATTTACAGCAATTGTTATAATGCTTTCATTTCGATCAGTTTCAAATGATGTTGAAATCACGTTATCACGTATTTTTTTAGTAAAATGAAGCATAGGGTTGCTATAACCCTATACTTCATTTTACTAAAAAAATCATCTGCTAAGAATGATAACTTTATCATCGCCATTTCTAATAATATTTGGAGAATTGTCACTTCCATAACAAACAGTTAACCCTCTCCTCGTCAAACATCGGCAATTTTATATTATCAGTATCGAAGAACTAATAGAATTAATAAAATTCACCGCAAAGAATCTAAGTGAGACATAATTTTTTAATAGTAATCACTATTTTCTGTTTTATGATTATCTATTCAACAAGTCCAACAGTATAATACCATTATCATTTGAAGTCTACTTTCCTTACTTAGCATCCAACTGGTCGGGCCGATTAGTCGAATCCTGAGTAATTGATTTGTGAATAAGCCAGTTACTTGAGTCATCATTACTCATTAGATTCACAAAATTTCAAAAAATTACCACAGACAATAGTTTAATCTTCAATCTGAAATATAATCTGTGCTAATTTTTATGTCTTAACAGCTTTTGTAACATCATGCCATATAATTTGGCACTGACACTATAACTTGCATACAAAAATAAGGTACTAGCGTCATCTACCTCTATCTATGTCTGTCTATCGAGCACTGTAATAACTACAGAACAATGTCATCATTAAACTATTAACACTTTTTCATATTTATTGTACTTTCAATAATTGCGCACTAATTACAGACCAAAAATATAATACTTGATTGTACTAGCTAATTGTATTTCTACAAGCATGTTTCTCTTTATAATTAATTTATCATTACTTGGAGTTAGTTCAATTCAGAGACAATATTACTTTACAAAACTACATTTCTATAGTAAAAACCATCGAATTTAATAACGCAGTTTAGTCATTTTATTATTAAATTTCAAATACAGATTTAGTCGTAAAGGGCCGATAGGAGACCACAAATGAAAATGAACCACATTCAGCATTAAGTTGAAATTAGCTGATAACATTAGTTGTTAGTAGCTGATAATGATTAGTTTGTCTCATACAATATGAAGCTTTTAATTAATTTAGAACTTTGTTTCTTATTTCTTTAAGATAGTTGATCAGTGGAAACGCATCACGGGCGTCACTTAACAACATGATGTCGTGGATGTATATAGACGACGGTTACCATTTACCATCAGGTGGACCGTCAGCTTGTTTGCCATTCCAATTATATAAAAACAACTGGATTCCGACTTCAGAATACCCTTTACGACTAACCAACTATAACAATTCAGCATGAAAAAAAATAAATCCTTTTCATTTTTAACTTTATAACTTCTAGCGTATTTTTTGTATATCATAAATGCATTGTATTTTCTCTTACTATATAGCTATTAGGAGCGTAACTAGGACAGGGAGAAGACAACATTATGTAGATATTGACCATCTACAAAAATTTCGTTGTCGTTATACTCGTATTTTTAATTGATTTAAAAATTGTGCATCATCTCATATTTGTAAAAAAAACAATATGTCTACATACTAGTTTTTGTACAAAAACTAGAACTGTATTCCAAATACAAAACAAACACAACGTTGTAGCGTTTAAAAGAAGTATTTAGCATAAATTCGTTTGAAAATAGAATCTTTGTATAGTTTACTTATTTTTTTAAATACTTTTATATTTGGAATACAGTCTGTAATTCCAATGCTTTCAACATAGTTTGGCCGTAAGGAGCACCATTAAAATAAACTTAAGCGTAGTTCAATTTGTAAACTATTAATATAACAATAGAGTGCTTTATGGATTAATAGAATCTATTAAAGTGTGATCTCGCAACTGGCGTGTTTGAATGTGTAGTTACTGAGTAGAAAAGGCGTAGGAACTAGGTCGACGCCGCGCCGATGATGCAGCCGACGGTTTAAGGTCACACATTTATCGGCACGCGCCATGAGGGTAACTGTAATCGTAATTTTTTTTTTCATTAATTAGTTGTGACGACTGTTTGAGCCTGAAATTCTTTGTCTCACTTTTAGGCGTTTTGGGGATTATTAGTAAGCAGTATCTGAGCTAGCTCAATAGAGTGAATACTCATACGAGTGTTGCATTTTGAGAATGAACTGGCAAGCTGTTCTCGTACTGCAGATAAATTCTAAAATAATGAATTTCCTATTTGGTTACAAATGCGCCTTAAGAACGCTCTCCAAGATTGCTTTTGAAGACCGTTCGAGAATTTCAGTATTGGAGCTGAACTATGGACTTGAACGGTTTTGGTGGTTTAGCGCTTTAGCGCACCGCTTCAGATGGTGTCGACTTCGATTTCGCGCAATGTACAAACATTTTTATTCATAAGTAGGATTGTTTGTATCGGTCTAGGTGTCTTCTATGTATATTATATATGTATTTACAAAAAAAAAACGATTAATATCAGTTATCTAGTACCCATAACACAAGCTCTACCTACCTTGAGACTAGATGGCGTTGTTTGAATTGTCCAGAGGCATTATTATACTAATATTATTTGATATTTTTAATTTTACGTACCTGGCTTAGGGCCCCTCGGTAATGTAAAGGTGTCCTTGGGTCAGACCCAATACTGGTTCCGTCTGAGCATTGGATTCGCGGGCGCGACGCCCTGAGCACGGATTGGGTAAGCAGATTCACTTGCTTCGTAACTGCTCCAATCTTCAGCCTGGTAAAAACAGCATCGCTTATTATTCACAATATAGTGGTTACGAATTGTGTTTGTAATATCTAATATTTAAATTGGGGAATAATAAAGAAAATTTTATTGAAGAATTGTCAGTCAAGAAGTTAAGTAATTAACAAAAATGTACAAGAACATGTTATTCTTGAATACAAATTTATAATACAGACATAATTATAGTGTCTTTTGATTACGGCTTTACGCCATTCTCAGATGTCCGCCATTTTGTAAAGTAAATTAATTAATACAAAAAGAACCAAAGTACAATGAAGAACGCAGAAATGCGTTAGTTGAAGCAAAGCACGGTCTTTTTCGTTCCCTTTGTCTACATTTAGATTGCATACTCTTTCCTGCGTTCCAATTCGCGCATGTTTAGAGCATGCATATAGAGGCAACTATTACCTCTGTTTCGCCTATTTCGTCGACGTTTCGTCGACGTCGACGAAGCAAGCGTCTTAGAAGGTAAGACGCTTGCTTCGTTTGCTGTGTATAAGTTTGAGGATGAGATTTAACAGTAAACACACGCACAGAAATTAAACATACCAAACGTAAGACAACCCACATAGTACTTTTTTTAATTTATAATGCTCTATGCATTACATTAAAAGTAAATACAATAAACAAAAGATTAAAGACAGAATTTGGTGTAAGATCTTGTCGCTAACGCAATTTCTTCCACACAACTTTATTTAGTACATAGTATAACTTTAACGACCAGGAAATGAACCTTACACTTTGCATACTCACGTCCGTATGATCGTCAGCGCCGTACGGATACCGGGCGTTAAGATCGGGCAGCGTGGGATCGACCAGAGGCGTCACTTTACACGCCACGCTGCCCCCCGAAGGCAGCGGGGTACTAGCTCCAGTATGCACTGACTGGTCCGACGAAACATATCTGAATATACAATACATTTTTTTAATTAACACAAAAAACAATCATTCTTATCCAACGGGGCAAAACGAGGCAATATACTCAAAAATCCTTGCAGAGTAACCCCTTTGCATAGGTCATTCCTACTTTCTGGGCAAAATAACTACCATCACTAGTAACCTCGACGAGCCGATCTGATATATACGTCAAAAACATTTTGGCTTCTGGACTACGCGACCATTTTAAGACTCACCGTTTAATAGGTGGTGTGATTTGCGAAGGGGACGGCATCAGATGATCGGGCGGTCGCGGAAGCGGTATTGGGGCCACCGCACCCTGGCTTTGACCGTGGATCTTGACCAGCGCGTTCTGGTCCCTCATGATGTACCGGCGGCACTTGAGTAACCCGAATATCACCACGATGGCCAGTACCGTGCCGGATAACGCCATCAGTATCATCATATAGTAAGAAGCTGTTTCGCCGTTCGCTACCTGTATTTTTTTTAAATAAATATATTAGTTAATTATTTCCATTTACTTGTGAAATAGTAAGTAAACAATATAAAACAAATACATACATATATATTGGATAATTCATATGTATATACAATAATCATACAGTAATACCATAATCATATATATAAACATACCGGAACACCTTCATGACTTTCAGGATCATTTGGGCCCGGCAAATTTTTCTTAGGTCTATTCCCAATTAATATTCTAACATCCCCAGTGGCGGGTTGAAAAATCGTTGCAGCCAACTGAAAACGAAAACTGTCCTCGACACCATTCAATTCGTTAGGCTTCCTCTTGGTTACAAAATATATAACACCAGCCTTCACATCCTCATGTGTGAAGTACGTCACTTCTCTTTCTCTTGCGCTTGTCTTTTCACCAGAACTTCTGATTATTTTCTTTATACATCCATACTTAGGCTTCCGGAGTATCGTATAGAAGGGATCGCTCGCTGTCAATTTAGCCAAACCTGTAGCGTCCATAATATTCAGTGTTATCTTTGCCTTATCCCCGTCAACCCTCAAATCTCCCAAGGGTTTCATAAGCGGTTGGACTATGACACTTACAGTGAACGGAAGGGTGGAATTACTATTATGGACATATGCTATCAGATCGAAACTATCGTTAGCTGTGGTCATATCATTTTGCATATAAATAACGATGCGATCGACCAGATCCCTATGGGAGAAGTACGTTACAGGATTCCTGCCGACGTAGATGACACCGTGAACCGGTTGACGGGTTATATTGTACCACACCTTATAAATACCCGCATTGGTCTCTATATAAACCTGATCTGTGCTGACTGTGGCCACGTTAGACCCCTGCTGCAGGCTAATAGGACGTAAAGACGTCGCATTTAGTATAACAGGCATTACATCTATAGTGAAAACTGTATAAGTGGGCTTGAACTGACCGTCCCACACTCGAAAATAAAATGTAGCTGTCTGCAAGATCCCCGAATGCTCGTATATAACTTTGCCATTGTTTATGTCTTCCTGTGAGAACTTATTAATAGACTGCGCTTCATCAATAGTTTGGTTTTTGTCTAACATTACGATCCTGCCTTGAGTGGGACCACTTATGATGTCATAAAGAATACCAGAGGGGCTGGTGTCGGCGTCTTCAGTCAACAAATCCTTTCTCGTTATCGTATAGTTCTCTCCTTGGACTACTTGTATTTGGGGCGTGTCAGTTAGCAATCTGAACGGTTGATCGTTCACCGGTATTATATGAATCGGTATAGTGACGTTGCACAACAAGAAATAATCTGGCAATAAATACAAGGACATGTCAATTTTGTCCAGCACCGTATCAGAATCGTCGTGCTCGTAATTCACGACGCCACCCTCTAGTTGCGATTGTGTTAGTGATAATAAGGACGGCTTCAATTCTCCATGAGAAGGCTGGGACCACTGCGCCTCTATAAGGGGCTGCCTCAACCCTGCCTGAGTCTCCAAATACGCCATGACATTAGTGACGTTCACTTTAATAGGCACTTTATCGCCTTCTTGCACTTTAATCTGTGGTATATGAACATATTTGGCTAAACCTCCTGTTGAAACTGATATATCAATGTGAAACACCTGATCGGTTATAGATTTAGCTAGAGCCGCTTCAACAGTGAAAACGAATGAATCGTTCGTGTAAAGATCGGAGAACGGATGTGTGTGTTCGTAGAAAATTATTGTATCATTCACGTCTTGTTGAGTGAACTGTTTTATAGATCTATGATGGTTCTCACCGTTCAACATCACTAGTCTACCGAGAGTTGGTGCCCTTTCAACCTTGTATGTTATAGGACGTGTTAGATCTGAACATTTTGACATAAGAAGGTAGTTGTTCAACGGCTCCCGCATCAGAGGAAAAACGCGAAGATTTAGATTTCTGATAATTTTTAGTGAGACGGATTTTGTGGTGATTAGAAATGTGATTTTGGAGAGTTCGTGGAGACCATCTGTGACATTGAATATCATTTTACCCTTGGAACCATCTGTAATAAAAATAAATAGATCTTACAATACACATTTAACAATTTTATGCTCTCTATTTTTTATGAAGTATTATTTTCTTTATTGTGATATTGATACTTAGTATTTATATGCCCCTGCTATTACAAATTAAGCCACAAAAATAAGTTCGAACAAATCGATATTATTCTGGGTAGAAACGAGTGTATACTCGTTTCTACCTCTTCTTCTCGATTTAGATAAAATTTTACAACCAAGATTTATATGCATAGCTAATAATTATTATAATAAGGTTTACTGGGTGACTTACTTTTATGTACGAAAATAACTTGGCCGTTGTCAATATCAGCTTGTGTGAAATGGTTCACAGCATTTTCTATATCTCCCTTCATTGCTATGTACCCTGATACTATATCCACCACTCGGATTGTCACATTTTCCAACGGCGTATCTATGTCGTTGACATCTGTAATAAACACAATATTAATTTACAAAAATCACCTTAATTTATTAAACGAATCCTTAACTATACATACATATATATAAATAAAAACAACTACTAAATAAAATAATTTTATTATTCAATTACTAATATTTCATGTCTATAACTTCATGTTTTTGATAACAAATATTTCCATTTTTATCTCATCTTAAAGACAACGGGATGATATATTAATAAGAATAAAAAGCATTTATCCTGTATTACACAGATTTAAGCTATATTCTGACTGTAGGGTGAGATTAGGCAGTGAAATTACTGAATAAGTGCTCTGTACTGACAACATATGAGTGGTCTCAAGGGTATCACGTGATAAAATGATGTATATAGATAGTACATGTATATATTGAATGTTGCTGCTTATCACGAAGTCATCATCAACTTATTGGCCATTCTAAATACATAAAATAAATATTAAGCTTTTGCTTCAGAAAACTAATTTTAAATATTTCGTCAGTCCATTTGTCGAAGCTGTTCTCTGAAACTGTTGGATAGATTTTGAAGGGACTTTCACACGCAGATAGTTAATGTTATGATTAACTTAGACTACTTTTATTAGAAGTTTATTATTTATTTTAATTTAATAACATTCCACTCTGACAAGTTATACTTTGTTTTCAGACGTAGGTGCCGTATATAATTCCGCATTTAGTGAGAGGCTTTTAAATTGAAATTACAGATTTCAATTTCATTTATTTTGTCGTAAACCAAACCAAATAATTATACATACACAGCTCGTTTCTGGTGAAAGTAAATGTGCCGCCTTCCCACACACACAGACCAGTGTTAGCTGCCACTATAGGAGTCTCGTCGTTAACTGGCACTATGTTTACACGTACATAGAACGGCTCGCTCTCTTTGTTGTTTTCAGTTATGGCGACCAACTTAAATGCGTCTAATGATTCTTCTGAACCGTCGTTGATGTACTGTTAATAGTAGAAAAAAAAAATATAGTAACTAGTACAAAGGCAGCATCATCGTTAAGTAATCTCTTATAGGCAACCTTTAGGTAGACGGTAAGGAAATGCGAAAAAGGTAGATGGTATAGAGAGATAGATAAGAATTTTATTAGTATCTTAGTACACGCATATGTTTAATTACAGGTACTATACATAATATTTAATTGTGTTCAATATTTTATATTTATGATTTCATATACTTAGATATATTTCATACATATAGATCATTATAATTGTGATATCATCTAGGACATCATCTAAGGTAAGTGTCACGTCATGAATTGACGGTAGCTCTGACTATTTTTAAGGATCTATAATAGACTTATATTAAAGATATTTTGATATGATTATGATGAACTTGAATTTCCAGCAGCGGTAACGGAATGAAAACTATATTTTTACGGTACGGTTGATTTAACATATCATAACAGTGTGTAATAGACATACATAAATAAAGATATTTTGTATGGTGGTGAAAAACCAATGAAAAATAAAGTCAGCCCACTTCCTTATAAATTAATAACGATGGTTTCTTTAGTTTATAAAAAATATATACAAACCTGTATATTTCCAGAATTCAGCTTCAAAACGGGTAACAAGCTTAACTCCTGATCACCCATCACTATCTTTCCGTACTTTGGCTTTTCTACCAATTTATAAGAGACCACTTTACCCTTGTAATAATCTGTGATAGTCCGGAATAAATCTGGCTTTAAACTTGCCTTTTCCCCTTCAACAACTGTCAAATTTGAGGCCACAACGTAGAAATGCTCGGGTATTATCACGACGGTCAACTCTAAGTCTCTTAACCATACAATACCGTTCGTCACATCCATCTTTATTCGATCTCTCGTTCGATTCACGCCCGATTGCACGTATATTAATCGATTGACATTTATTATCGATTGATCGAACACTCGGGTATGGATTGGCTCCTCATTGTAGTTTTCGACTTCAACCATTCCCGGAGTGGTGGTTATTTCAAGCCAGCCGTGATATGGTCCTTCGGTCACTTGGTAGACAATGTTGGACGGCTCAATTTGAGGATGCATAACCTGTACAAAGTTTGTTTTATGAATTTTGTAAGACGACATATTGGTCTATAGTTACTTCATACATTACTACTAGACTAAGTAATAGTCATCATATCAGAAGGTAACTCTAAAAATTAGTCTGCGTGGCTATCTCAGTCTCAACCTATTTCAGCCGCCAAACAGCTTATTTCGTAAGCTGTGTTTCAATCGTAGGATCGAGATTTGGCTATGAAATTGCATGATAAGAGGTGTGATATGACATCTTAGTCCTCTAGAATGGCAGTGTAAAATTGTTATCTCTGATATATAACGTAGTGTATCGTAGTACTGTTGACGTATATACGCGATGGTTACCATCAGGTTGACCGTGCGCTTGTGTGCACTTCAAACTTTAAAACTATATTACCGCATCACGGATAAAAATTATGAAGGTAGCTATAGAAATTCAAATTATGTTCATACCTCTAAGATGTCTTTAGTAATGTTAACACTTGTGGACTCTTCAACAACCAAAGGTCGATTGGTGGTAACACGCAGCGGCTCCCAGTAGCTCGATGGGAATATTTTGATTGGATAAATGTCCTCTCCCCATGTTTCCAGGCACATCACTTTGAATCTACAAAATAAAAGTGTATTCATTTCAAGTGAGCGTAATTGTAGTTTTCACTATGTTTACACTCAAAATTTTTATGTTATTCATATAACCGCAAAGGCGCATATGAAAAGATACTAGACAAAAATTTTACTAATCATTATAATCGTGTACAAACTCATTTAAAATTTTTGTCAATTCTTAGGCATTCCGAACTGACGGTAATATTGACTAACTAAATATATCACAGGAATCTGTAATAAATTTGAAGTTTTGTTTTTACTAATAATGAATGACATATACAGACAGTGATAAGTTACATAATGATCGTATGTATATATGTATTGGAAAATAAACAATTTTTTTAATATGCTTATATTAAAATAGATCATTATTTTTTAAATGTAATTTGTTTTGATATGTGATTCGATCCACTCATAGTGATCAGTGGAATATATATAACATACTGTGCGCAGACCCTAAATTATCGGGTAAAGACGAGCCAATAATGATGATTAATTTCTTTTAATAATACCATGACATTAGTAATACAGAATCAATTGCAAATATCGACAAAACTCGTCTTGAAACAGGTAACAAATTATCGTTGAACCTCGTGCAATACATACCGAAAATGATCTGTAGGTGTCTTCGGCTCCCTATGTCTGTACGCTACCCTACCAGCGGCCACGTCCAGTTGTGTGAATGTATACGAGCCCTGACCCTCGCCCACTTCTATAGAACCATGTTTCGGCTCGAAGGTCACTTCGTAACGTATATCTTCCTCCAGACAGTTCATGTTAGTATCCACCTGAAAAAAAAATATATAAATATATCCTGGGGTAGGCTAATGTTGTTAGTTTTCCAGAGAGACCGCATGTACAACATGCGGTCTCTCTGGAAAACCAATGTACCATACATTGCTGGTATCGAGCACACTAGTTTCCTTTATTAACATCCATCATTAATTTCTCGTTATTAACATTTACCTTTAATACCACCCCTTCATCAGTGGGACTACCAGTCTCTTTATCATTCCAAAGTTAATCATAAAAATATATTTATAACTAAAAGTTAACCTGATGAGGTTTTCTCTAGAGACTACAGCATAGGGTCATGTAAACAGGCACAGGCAACAGGCATGTGGCACCCTTGGTGTTTCAGGCGTCCATAGGCTGCGGTAAACGTTTACCATCAAATGAGCAGTATACTTAAGTGCCACCATCATAATATAAAAAAAAGAACTAGAAATTGACGAATATAGGATGTGGAAGAAAAATCTCTAGTGTGTAAATAACTATTGGTAGTCTGTATCCACCTTTTAAATATAAATTAGTCATTTTAATGCCGTGAATGGCCATTTTAGGGCCTTATTCGTTTTTAGCTAAGGACATATGGGTATGCAATGACTGCTTGTCGACTATTACAGTATGCATATATCGTATAGGGAGGGAATTATTCCCAGACTTTTACGACCGCATGGATATCATACAGCATGGTATTTTGCAGCCCATAGTACCCATTATTAACAATCCCCGTCACCAACGCCTATGGTTACCCTTATCAACTGCGCATCTCCATTTTTAAAAGATAAATAAAAACTTATCTTATGGTCGTTATCTAACTACAATATATAACAAATTAGAAAGAGAGATGAATTACTTACTTAAATTAAAAAACACATACCTGCATATCTCTTGTGGTGATAACAACAGCTTTCCCATTCTCTACGATGGACCCATTTGTAGGATACATTCTTATAAATGGAGGTGACGCTTGTATCTCCAAATTGCCATTCACATCGAACACGCCATCAGATATCCAAAATCCCATCTTCCCATACTCCTTACCTCGGTGTTTGAACAGTACGAGGTTCTTATTGATATCGTCCTGGGAGAACTGAGCAATTTTTTCAGAGGGATTGTCAGCTCTGAAGATATCACCATTGGGGGGATCTTTTGTAAACGTTTGCACTGTGTAAATAATATCTGACGGTTTGGTATCCAAATCTGCGTCGGTGTAACTCAGATCCTTGGCTGTGATCAATCTAGCACCACCGTGTACGATGTGGAACACGTTTTCATTCGCTCTCACCGGACTGTTGTCGTTCTTCAATATTATATCTATATGGAACACTCCAACGTACTGAAAATCTTCAGGTTCTGGACTTAGTGCCATGAAATGGAAGGAGTCGTGTCTGCTCTCGGAGTCGTCATGAGCATAATACACCCTGTCCGAATTCAGTTCTAGCAGCGTAAAAAACGTTGTATTGTCCCTTATCACTTTCTCATTTATCACCTCAATTTTACCATGTTTCGGCAAGTGAGTAATATTGAACACTAAGTTTGTGACTGCGTCCGTTCGAAAATTGAGATGACTCGCAGGTATGACCATTCTAGAACCTTCGGACACTTGTAACCTTTCTAATGTCGTGTGGACCCTCCCAGTTGAATGGTCTGAGGTAATTAATGCTGGTGTGTGCATTATTGTCATTACGCCAGTGATATTTTCACATTCTGTCGCCCCCACTACGAAAGTGAACTCGTCCTGGATGTGGGAATAGGCTCGTCTGTGAAGCCTGTACCACAATTGGTCTGTATCGATGTCGTACTGTGTGAACATACTGTGCCCTTGTAAGTGGTGTTTTCCCGATGACAAATGGAGTATACCGTACTTGGGTGCTCTGAGTATGGTGTATTGAATACGATCGTTATTTAAAGTCAGGGGTCTGGTTTTGAAACGCAAATGTTGTGATGATATGAAGGCTTCTCTTGTGTTATTTAGTATCAGTTGCTCATTGACTGACTGGTACAGTTCAAGTTTTATGAACGTTAGTCGAAAATCGTATAATGTGTTCGTTCGTATCGTTCCCACGGATGCTTTGAACTGCAAAATATAATGTAATGTAATTTTAATCTCATATATGTATATATTAATATTTACATATAGGAAAATGTATGTAAATAAGGTTTATAATCGTATTCATACCTTAAAGTCATCATGCGTTGGACTGCCTAACAGGTGCATGTATCGGACCCTTCCAAAGTTGACCATCTCGCTAGTGAACGAGTCCACTGTCTGCCACGTGCCATCTAGGGTCCGCAAACGCTCCACTACACCAAATTGTGGTGGTTTCACTATGTCGTATCTAGACAGATAAACAGTTATATATGTACTTTTGTATAATAATTATTGCTATATTTATGATATTATTTCTGTATTTTCTAATAACTGAGACATGCTGAAACTTTGAATATGTTCCATACGGAATAGCAACTGTATATAGCTTTTTCTTCGAATAAATTGGATTGTATCAAACAATAAAAATCACTACGAATTTAACACAAATAGATGAGCATTTTCACTGCTATATTTTGGTTAAGTAACCATATTCAAGTATGTAAAAGCTGTTGACAGTAATACTAACAACTAAAATATATACCTTTGACCATTATTTTTAAAATGTGTTATAATGGTGTAATGCACCATTATAACACATTTGAAAAATTAATTTTAATTTATGATAATATTAATTTTAAATTCATGCAACCCGAAATTTTCAACCTTCTATCACAAACCGCTATTTAATAATAGCGATTTTTATTTATATATCAAAACAACGTTTGCGGGGTCAGCCAGTTATTACATAAAATAAAATCATATATTTGCACTCACTTCACTTGAACGTTTGTTTCATCCGCGTTCGTGGTAAATGTAAGATTATCAGCTGTAATTAGCACGTACGAGTTATGCACTAATTGCAGGCCCGTGTTATTCACGAGGCGAACTTGAAGAGGCACTATGGAGATCCGGAGAACACCTGAACTGCTCGTTTCTATTCCATCTGACACCTATAAAAAGTCATAATTATATATTTCTCAATACTACTGTTGTAGTAAACTTACAACTCTTATTCAAAGAATCACTCATCAGTTGACATATTTAGTGACAGTAATTGCAAATTCCGCAGATATATCAATAGATTACAAGTTGAATAGATACAGTAAAGAAGTTTGTTTCTTTAAAAATGTAAAATTGTAAAGTCATATCATTTGTTAATCGTAAGCACAAATTTATCATATACATATCGTAGTTGCCTTTAATTAAGGTTGTGCTTCATATATTAAATATATTGTAATGTGTATTGTATATGTAATGTAACTGCGTTGGTGTAAACCTTGGTGGTGACCTAATAAAATAAAAAAAACCTAATACAGTTCGTATTGACGGTCATAGACAAGGAAACCGTTTCTGATTACACGCTTGTCTTAAGAAAATTAATCATCACCATAGATAAATTATTCTTAGTCTGATAATCTGGAGGGTTATGTTTTGTTTCTTTAGGATTTGAACGGTGTTTCAGGTATCTATAGACTACGGGAACCACTTACCATCAAATGAACCTTACATTTGTATGCCACTATCATACATACCTGCAAAGTGAGCCTGAGTGAGGTCTTGTTTAGTTGTTTGTCCGCTGTAGAGCCATGAACATACGATATGACACCCGCGTCGATGTCCTGCTGTGTGAACGAGTCCACTGGCTGTCCAGACATTTCTATATGTCCACTACAAATCAAAACCATTTCAGAAATTAACAAAAACAAACAGACAGACAGAAAATTATTTTAAATGTATCATTTGATGTCAGTATCGCAGCATTTCGTAAAAAGCTGTTAATTTTAAATCACAAACAGACACTTTTATTTATTTTTTGATTGAGATTTATGAAGAATTGACTATTATACCTGTTCACATCATTTTTTCCGTGCAGCACTGTATATAGTAAGTCCTCCGGGAGAGTATCTGGATCTTCAGCTTTGAGTATGTCCGATGTAATTGCTTTACGTGTACCCTAAAATTACATAAAATTACAGGATAAGAAGCATTACATTTTAATCCTCTGGAATTGGGACGCTTAAGCATCATATGTGTCGTATGATAGTATTGTTTTAATATATATGTTCGGATTAATACCAGCTGCTGAGTTTCAACACCGTACCACCCGCCAGAAAATAAAATATCATCCTGATCATCTATATGAATGGCGGTCGTCCACAGAGAGGTTTTTTAGAAACTTTTTGCACAACCACATTGTGGAATCATAATACGATATTGAAACCTTCAATCTGTTTAAGAGATTTACAGATTAAACTAACAGACAGACAAAAAATATTAAAATTGACATTTTGATTTAAGTACCATATATGCTTTCACTAGCTGTGACCGCGGTTTCACCCACGTTAAATTTCAATATAAAATATAGTGTGTTATTCTGATGCACAAGTTATATTACAGTGAAGTTTCATCAAAATTCGTGCAGTAGTTATTGTGTGAAAGAGTTAAAAACATCCATACTTACAAACTTTCGCGTTTATAATAATATTAGATATGTATCAATTATTTCATTGATTAGAAATTACAAACAGATACCTCAATTTTAATAATTAAGTTTTCATTTATATTTATTTACATAGTTTGTTAGTATTTTGCTTAATTTATGTTTACTAGCGACCTGCCATGGCTTCGCATGTAATCATATGGTTTCATGCAGTAAAATGAATCCTACACTTTCAGATAGATCTCTAACAAATCAGGTGCTGCTACATTTTTATACTATTTATACTGCCGGCTGCTTATAACCAATGCAAATAAACATACAAATAGACAACAACGAGTTATTGTTTTGGCGTTTTTTTCTCAAATAAACCTCTATATTTGTTATTCTAATATCTATAAATTTAAAGATAAATTTTACATTATATATAACTAAGTGAGTTTTATTTAATCCCTATCGCACTTAGGTGACTTTGTCAGTTACATCAGCATGTAGGTATGTAAAGTCTGTCATATCATATACCCACAGATAGAAATCATGTAAAAAATCTCATCGACAATGCATTTCCCACTATATTTCAACAGTAAATTTTAAAAATTGTAATATACCATTATTTAACATTCACAATTATTTCATTTTAATACATCAGCATATATACGATAAGTACTATTTGCATTCTATGCAATGAACTATCTTACAATAAAATGAAGAAAACACATGTAAGAAAAAAAACGAAAATTAATCAATAATCGCATATAAATAAACAAAACTATTACGTATATAAACGTAAATCAGGCAAATGATTTAGTATACTCACATAGTTCATTCAGTGTTAAACGGTGTACTTTGAGTGTGGCATGTGGCTAGTAAAGCATGCAATTACTTTAAGCAAATTAAATAAAACATATGAGGCGCTGGACACACACTGAAAAATAACAAAAACAATAAGAAAAACAGTATGATATGAACAATTTCTCAGTCACTTTTGTATATATTTAGTTTTGTTACTTTCTTTACAGATAATGTGTTAATAAGAAAGTAAGAGATACAATATACTCAATCAGTAATGCTATCGTAGAGTACATAACACCAACTACTCTATACTATTTGTAATTAAGCCTATCTAACTACATTTAATGAGATTTTTATCGGTTAAAATGGTATGTGTATATGCGTGCCCCGCCTATGCTAACAGTATACGGTGGCGGGGCACCAGTGGAGACTGGTAAAACAAGTATTAAGTCAACTCAATCCATTATTTCGAAATTTCAGAAATTAGCACACTGGTTTTGCGGAGGGACTGCATGCAAGTTGAAATAAGTACAGTAATAGCAAACTGGGAACCATTAATAACAATTCTGTACCCCCAAATAATTAAGTAAGTAATTACTTGCATACAGTCTCCCACTTTCACATGGCGACCCACCAGGGCCTGTAGATACCAACTGTGATTGCGAATCATAAGAAGATTCTTATCATAATAATGTCACTATCTAAAGGCTAGATAGAGACCGAACACAAATCATCACACTAACTGTTCTAACTACTCATTACAGCATGGGGTTTTTCAAGAAGAGTAGCTAATGTCACCGTTAATATCAGATGGGCTATATGCCTTTTTGCCACAATCATAGTATGAAAAATTCTACTCGAAATATTCGAGTGTAGGAAGTGGTTGGTGGTGACAACTGTTTAATACAAATTAGTCAATTTAATTCTCTGAATGGTCACTTAAGTACCTATATATGTGGTTGGTATCATATACACTACACTATGCTATAAAAAACGATCATCATGCAAAAATATTGTCAACTAGTCATACAAACAGAACAACCAACTGTAATATGTTTTTTTATTATTTTCAAATGCACAGTGCAAACTTTTATACGGCCTTATGTGTTATATATATTTAATGTGTGGTTATATATATTTGCATAATTGCATTTATGATCTGCAAGTTGCAATACTAAATAGTTTTCGAATTATTTAAAGTTTAATATAAAAATAATAAAAAAAAACATAGATTAGAAGCTAAAATAAAAAAAGAAATGCTAACAAATTCAAAAGTGTGATTAGATTACTTAATCAACCCTTTAATTGTATATACCTGTGTAAGTCTTAGCACTTTGCCAGGTAGTAAATTCAGCACAGGCGGGTCATTGACCGGCGTGACATTAACGTGAAGCACGAACGTGTTTCGACCCTGGAGGTAGCTCGGCAGCGTGAACTTGGTTTCAGGAATCAGTTCCATATCGAGGACTATTGCATCTTGGTGGTTTTCGGAACCGTCGTGGACGTAGCGCACCTGACAAGAAATTAATTCGTTTATTTATAAATTTGGTCCTCAATCAGTAGTAATTAATAGAATATCGTTTTGTTCGGAGATTTATTTTATGTAAATGGAATAAAAAGTAGCTAACTGACCACCTGATGGTATCCCCCACCTGGTGGTGCTACAGACATCACGTTATCCTTAAACCCCCATGATACGATTATGCATTGCTATTTCAGTCGAGTATTTTGTTATACTTCTTACTATCTAATTTCATTGTCTAATCTCACAGTCAAAACACAGCTTGCTAAGCATGCTGCTTAGCGGCTTAATTAGATGAGACTGAAGTACTCCCACAGACAACTTATTACAGTTTACCTCTGGTTTATAAGTGCTTTAGGTAGTCAAACTAGAATTAGAATCAGCACTAAGTGTTTTTTTGTGAAAATATAGTCAAAAGTTATATCCTCAACGTTGTTTGTAGCGCGGCGTCGGTAAATACCTACGCGGTGTATGTAATGATTTTCCATGAACGAGAGTCGTCAGTGATAGAAAAATCCTATATATTATATTTCATTCACATTTTTATTATATATTCACTAGTATAAAGATAAATGAATATATTTGAACCAATAGAAAACCTTATCTATCATGCATTCTAAAAAAGTATATAAAACTATATGAAGGATAAAAAAATTTCATACCTTATCCCTAGACAAGTCCATAAGTGTAAAGAACTGCTTCATCTTCCCATCACCCTCAATATAGTTGGTGTACTGTGGGGAATTTCTCTGCAACGATAGATCAACAGCTATCCTTCCGTGTTGGGGCGATTGGGCCACGTGAAGTAAGACCCCTGATGGCCGCACCCCATACTTGTGATGGTCCAAAACCACGTCTATATTTTGTGTGGTGATCACTGCTACACCTCCTTCTTGAACCGTTAGTGGGTACAATGCGACCAGTTCTAGTTCACTGCTTGATTTTGAGTATACCTGTGAATTATTTATAATGATTCAAAACCAAATCAAAACATATCATTTGATATACTTTATTTGTAATATGCAGGAAAGAAAAGTCACAGTCAATATATTAAATAACACATGTTTAGTTACAATAACAGCCTTACTGCTGAAAGCTTTTTTTTTCAAGGAACCTTCGTGAAACGGATTTCATTAACGAATAGATAGTAATATGCAAACAGAACAAAAGAGTGCTTAAAATTTTATCTAACTCTAATCTAACCATAAAACAATGAAAACATAATCTTACCTTATATTTCTCAGCATAATCTGGATTGATGCAAAGATCTGTATCACATTTACACGTAAAATGATCAACGCCGTGTTGTTCACAGATGGCTTGCGATACACACGGTGGGTTCGCTGGACTGGAGTGGCAGGGGTACCACCAAACGCATTTGGGACTTACGCCGTACGTCACCACAGCGGTGGGCAGACCAAATATCTTGTCGTCCACCTCTATAGGTTTTATGCAGCCCTGGTAACAAGATAAATCAATATAGATATTTTCTTATGGGCTTTCTGCATCCCTAGTAATGACTTAAGTGAGTATAGATAGATGACAGGACTACTACTTAAGATTTTAAATAAATGAGAGTATTAATTAAAACAGTACTATAGATAACATTTTAGTATGGGGAGTACTATGGTAATAAATAGATTTTCTAAAATTAGAACAAGAGAGTAAAAACACGTTTAGACTTATGATTATTAATTTAATTCATGTTGCTTTGATAATTAAACACAAATTGAGTTACTTGGGTTAATGTTCTATCTGTACATATTTTTGGTACTATATCTATAAGACATCGTTACAATTTGATGTCATATAGACTTTTACGTTCATATTTACATTAAAAGATTGATGCACATATTCTGACGGGCAATTTTTTGACGAAATTAATCAAAAAAATCAGTAAAAAAGAGAAGTTGGTAAATCATGATATGTCAGCTATATTTTAATCTCGGTGGTCGAGTAGGCGTGGGAATTGGTAATTCCGTCAGTGGCGAAATGGTTTCCTCACACGGTACAAACATATGTATGATTGTTTGAATTGTTTTTGTTTTGTATGTAAAAAACACATTTAAGTATTTCTATCAGTCGTCTACTAGATAGATAGCGGTGTGTGAATTGTCCAAGATATTGTTATTATTTCAAATTCAGATTAATACAAAGAAGCATACCATGATACTGGAATCAGCAGCCTTGACACCTTTGGCGAAAGCTCTCTGTCTCTTCTCACTTTCAATGCCACCCAGGTAGAACGTATCAGACAGATCCAGGTATCTCGTACCGCTGCTTTCGATGCGTGTGCTCATAGCGATATTGTCCACAGACAGCTGAAATTATAACACATTAATTATTCATTAAACGTGCGCGGTATAAACAAAAGTAATAAAGTTTTCTTTCTATATAGGTACATAAGAAAACACAAAACGTTTTCTGTACTCATTCATAAACAAGAAATAATAAAAAAGGATAGTTACTGGTTTTCAAAAACTTTTTTCTTTATATCACAAATACAGAAAGTTATGGAAGGTGCAAATTATTAAATGTAATTAGGCTATATACAAGTAAATGTATTATGTCTCCATTAAACTATATGTAGTGGCAAATAAAACAATCCACATTTTCAAGATATACCTATCTGCACATCTGTGGAATTGCTCATATAGTGTTCGTATACAGTATTTAGTTCATATAAATATTTATATACATATAAGATCTGTTGCTGTAATTGACATACTTTTTAATATAGGTACCGCCTACATCTTATGTTATAATTAATCGGAGAGTTCGTTTACCTCTAAATCACACCTACGCAAAATTATTCCTGTACTATTTAACATATTTATGTGAACTACACAGTATTATTATTACTAGTGGCCGACCATTAGTTCTAATTTTATTTAGTTTTTTTTTCTTTAGTCAAAAGACCAGTGTTTGGTTGTTGTTTTTATTTAGTCAAAAATTGAAATAATTCATTAAAATTTTAAGTTGAAAACTTATTAAGGTTATGTTTTTAACTTTATAAGATTATATTTTTAATTAAAAGCCTCTGTGTAAGTGGCTTAGCACACTGCCTTACTTCCGATAATCGCGGTTAGATTTGTATTCCTGAGTATAATTGTTTATATAAGTCTAAGATAAATGTATCTTATGTATATATAGAAATACCTCTAGGTATTAATACTGAGATATTTTTTTTATTAACAAGGGTCCAGATACTGCTTTGTGTTATCTAGGCTTATTATTACTGTTATCTTTATATAAAGGTTCTATTATCAAATACTATGTCAAACAATTGCAGTGTGTATGTAATATTATTATTCTGAATTTATATTTAAGCATTATTATAATAAAATATTATCTTTCTGCGCTCCATTCGCCATATAAACTTGAATTGTGCAAATTTAAAAGTCCTACGCCAGCGTATATTTTAAAAGAGGTTTTGCTTAACGTGTTTATTATACACACGCATAACATATAATTCATAATCAAACAGATTTAGGGTTGCCAAAAAACAACTACATAGGAAAAATATATAGATCTAATTATTTTTAATGTTTATTCAAGAAAAAGTTTTCATTAGTTAGGTTTTGCTATATTTAATAAATATAAAATAAAAATAATTGCAAATGATAAATGAGATAATCTTCGCATATTGGAATTTATTTACATTTGTTATAGAGAAACCTATTATTAAACTAGCAGTTTTTCGTACTCCAGCATAACATGATATTACATTACTCGACAATCATAGTGCTGTGCGCGCATGGATTATAGCGTATGTGCTAAGGTAGCAACGTAGCATTCTAAACAAAAAGAATTTTACAATTGTTCATATACACTTTAATCATACCAAACAAACAAACAAACAAATAGTCTTTCCTCTTCCCATCTTGTTGTATTGTTTAACAGAAATGGCAGGGGAAAAGAAAAGGCGGGGTTTCTCATTTTTCTGGGCAAATTTTCTATTTATGTCTTAATTCTTATAGTTCGCCGTTATCGAGTTTTGCGCGTAGCAAATTATTTAGTGGTTTATATAGATAGCTTTGCTCAGCTTAATATTGCTAGCTAGCTTGATATAATTACAGTATAGTGTTGCTCACAATATGCTTACATATTGACAAACTATTTTAGCTGTCTTGAGTAGTGTACTCAATACAGCTAAAATAGTTTGCAATTATTACTATAAACAAATTACTACACGCACAGCAGCTCAGACGCGAGGCCAAATGAAAAGAACGTACTGTCATATTTCTATAGCCATCTTGTTTGCCATTTATAACATATGTTCATTTTTCAAACAATTGTGATTCTGTTACAGCTTCACCGAAAGAGGCGAATGCAGATTGCATTCCAACCCCGCGGAAGGACTAATGGAGCGCTGAAAGCCAACTCCTGCCTGACGAATATGACTTCTCGAGCGCACAGCTAGAGGTTCTGACCTCGGCGAGGCCGTCGTAATTTCGATCACCGTTTGAATTGAACCGGATATCGATCGGAGGGTAATTTTTATATATTTTGTTCATTTTACCATTGTGTGTGTTGCTTATTAAACTTACTTAGATTCCTGTTTATAGGCAATATTTTTTCCGTGACCAATATTACAGATATTAATATACCCATATTATTCATAGGATTACATTATTTCAATAATTGTGATTAAAGTAAATTTTTAGATATTTTAAGATTATTTTTTTTAACAGTGACTAATATAGTATACTCTAAAACAAGATATGTCTATATAAAATAAAATTTACTGCTTTATCCATAATCCTATTATAATACGAAAGTGGATCTATCTGATAATTTGTCACGTATAAACAGCACAACGAATATTATTAAAATTCGACGTTAAGATTATGTCGCGTAATGTATATGAAGTCGCCCGTAATAGCAAGTATATTTGTTTCGCATTAGACTTACCAGTATTCATACTCCATAGATATATAAAGCATTTATTTATTTCTCGCTACTCACGAACTTCTACATACATCCATTAACATCCATCACGACACAAAGACATACCTATCACCATAAGCAGATTCGAATTCATACTCATAACTTATCTTCATGGAAAACAAACTAGGATTTTTTATAGCCAAATATTCGTTTGAAAGATGATAGGCTAGTAAAATTACAAGCAAGGAGAAAACCTGTATTTTTCGAGGCACTTTCATATTTCGCACAAGAAGTATAAAACCGAATATACTCAATATATAATAAAACGATTTAAATAAAATATTTTTAGAAAATGAACGAATGTTTTATTTAAACTGTTTTGCGCTACAAAATAAACATGGAGTAAATCCCTGCGGTGTTTTCTCTGTATTCAAAAGAGATCAAAGGCCGTTTCGCCGTCAATAGCAGATAAGCCGTATAGCTAGGCAAACATACAAAAAGCACAAATATCAATATCACATTTCATTCCGAAATATAGTTGAAATAGAATAATATTCCAATTCGGAGCTCTTGCTAGTAATTTCTTTTCTAACAACATGTAAAGTGCTAAAAAATTTGGAATAAAAGTAAGAGCCTCGTGGCCTAAAGATTAATTATCCCGACTTGAACCCATCAGTCCTAAGTTCGAATATAAAGGAATTACGCGCAGCTTCTTAGTTATGTCAACAAAAATATAGAACATAAATAGTTTTAAAAACTATTTTATATTAGTTATAATCTTTATATTTACATATAATATAATTAGAAAATCGTGACAAGTTGAAAAGTATCTGTTTGTGTGTTAGGATTTCTCACAAATACTACTGTAGGAATTAGGTATACTATTTTAAGACTTTGCAGATGTTTCTTTAGTCTATATGATGACCCACAGTTAACAACCACATTAGGTTGGTATTTTTTTATTATTAATTTTATATGAGCCTTCTAATATTGTTTGTATTTTTTAATCAACATAAAGTCGTGTAAATGCTTTATTTATGACTTCATTACCATCAATAAATACAATAGATTCGCTGGAACCACTAGTAATACGTAGTAATCTAATAATTTATTTATACATAGATGACAATTTAGAGGTAAGAACATGTGTTTGCCATAATAATCGCATGTGAATAAACTAAGTAACAATAAGTTAGAATTGATATTCTCCTGTGAAGTACTAGTCACGTGTCTTTAGTATTATTTAGTAGTACATTAATAACATTGCACTTAAAAAAATAAATGTCGCAAGCAATATTTAAAAGAATTTTTGTTTTATAAAGACAATTATTTTAAATGTACCAGTCATAGTAGTCATAATTTAAACACTGTACTAAGAATTTACGCCAAGAATCGCAATTAATTGTTACAGCAACACTTTTATAAAGACGCTCAGCATTTAAATACTGAATAGAATTGTCGGGCTGTTTTTTGTTTTTTTTTTTATTTTTTCGATTAAACTATAGTTACAAAATATGTAACTAAAATAGTTTTATAGATTCTATTTTAAGAATAGATGTTTCATTGTTTACATATCATTATTGGATACACTAATAGAATAACGACAGATAAAACTTAACAAGTCAGAGAGTATTAATAAAATTATAAAACTATACATACCTCAATTAACGATGGATTGAAGGACATATGTAGCTTGTGCCACTGTCCATCGTTGATCCTGACCGTGTGGACAATCTGTCCGCGTGCCATCTTCACACGTACCACTCCCTCTAAGATCTCTACAGCGAGGAAATCGGAACCGCGACCGCCACCCGCGTTGTACAATATTATCGCATTTTGGGTTATCGTCTTGAATTCAATATGCCATCTGGAAATTTACTACATTTTTACTAGCTGTTACCTACGTCTTTCAGCTTTTTCTTAGATAAAAATAAATGTTATCCCTAATATATACATATACATGTATGCAATGTTGATAGATATAGATACAAACAAACAGGCAACAGACACACTCCCGCAAGTATAAAATTTGAGTTAAATTTTTATTGTTCTAGTATTAACTATTTGAACCTAGGTCCTGTCGTGGTAGACAGAAAGATTATATTATTAAACACAATGTTATAATGATCCAGCAAACGCTGTAATTACAAGCCACATAAAGCTATCATTTAGCTCTGCATACAATCGTTAAATCGTGAAGAAGCGTAAAGAGATGGAAACCGTACGTTAGTGCGTTAAATTTTTAAGTATAGTAATAACGAATGGAGGAAATAACTTGAAATTTTTGCAGAATATATTATTTATTTAGAAATTTACAAATATAACAATGAAATTTAATATTAAATCCTGCATTAGGCGAACCTTTATCGCGGGAGTCCACAAAAGAATAGCCAGATGTTAAAAATATTTTGATTTGATTTGAATCTAAAGTTATTATGGGCCAACATATAGGTAAACGAAAGTTTATAAATATGTTTAATCATCCTACAATTGAGTTAATTAGTTTACTACTAGTAATAAAATGTCGGATGATTTATTTTATTATTGTTATTTGATTTGACATAAATAGATTGCGTCTCCGAAAAATGAAATACAATAATTAGACTTCATGAGTAAAATTAGTATGGTTGTTTTCGAAGTATTTTATGTATGTTTTAGAAAAAAAATGTATTTAAGTATAATTTTTATATTTGTTGTATAGTAGTCATAACACATGCTCTGTATGAATTGTAATGTAGTTATTATTATTATTATTGTGGACCAAGTGCAATTTAGAAGTAACAAAATAGGTACTGTAAATAGGTCTACTCTACACCCTTTACTTACCCACTATCGTAAGAATGTTAGATAATATATCTACTATTTTTATAAGACATGAAAATAAAGCCATAAATTTATTTTCACTATCAGGTCATATATTATTATTATTAATTAATATTAATAGCAGATTATAATAATGAACAAGATAAAATTAACTATAAATATTATAATCTTTTTTAAATATCTATATAAGGAATACGGTAAGCCACGAATATAAATACTACCATGATTCTTTGTTCCATACATCAAATGACTCATCCAGATAAAAGAATTTATACCGAATATAAACCCACGTAATTGTTTTCACAGAAAACAATTTACCGACTTCAAAAGATACTCGATCTCTCAACTCAACCAGAACGTCTGTAGCTAATTGCTGTATGTAATTAAATAATACTTTAATGCTTAAATTGTTGTGAAATAAAAAAATATTAACAAAAAAAATTATTATTACGGTAAGTAGGTACACAACATGGAATCAAACTTTATAGGTTACATAAATAATCAATAGAATCGAAAAAATACACAAGCTACCGTATAGCTGCATAAAAAAAATTCATGCGTACAGAGCGCCTAGTTTAAGTAAATTAAAAAACAAAAACCTCACCTTCCACCTGCTCTAGAATTAATTTTAGGCAAAATCAAATAAGCTCCTTCATCAACAAAACTGATATCTGAGTTTATGTCAGCGTCGAACTCAGGAGCACAATTCCATGTGACTCCCTCCACATGGACTGAACCGGTACGACTTCGAGCTTTATCTATTATCTTCACGCCATTATAGTAAACCTATTAACAAAGATAGGAGATGTGCAATACTATTAAATTTCGTTTTTTCGCATGTTACAATCCGATCAAAATTACTATGATATCTCCAGCAACATAATTGTAAAACATATTGTAATTATTACTACCACACATACTGAGAGTTTGATATGCCTGGACGCAAGATTTGAACCCCTTATAATAGTTTTAAACTGCCGATCTAATAAACAATATAGGTGAAATTGCTAAAAATATAGCCCATACAAACATTTATGTACAGATAATGCATTCCCATTGGATAAGTTTAGTTCGAGCAAATAGCAATATGTCTGCAGAAAGAAATATGGCAACAAACATTAAACATAAAATATGTTTATTACAACACATAGTAATCCTGTAAAAGTTAGTGGTCAGCAGTTTATAATATTAAGTGGCACATCGGCTCGTTCGACTTTACAGCCATAATAAAAAACTTAAAGGAATTAACTGCTACATACATATCATTTACAAGAAAATATTAACAACATTACTTGCAAATTCGTCGTTAAATATAAATATATTATTATATATTTATATTTAACGACGATTAATATATAAATATATTATATTGTAAGTATAAATTACATTATTCTTATATACTCACATCTTCCATGCAACCACGAAAATTCTCCATGTGACCAAGGAATAGTTCTGAGAAATCGCCCTGGCCACCCAGGAATAATCCAAAATGTATGTTCAACTCAAAAAATCTACCTGGTAATTTCTTTTTGACTGCACTTTCATCCACCTGTAATTTACTACATGATAAATGATGTTTTGACAAGATGACTAACAAGGTAATGTATTAGAATTTCTTTTTTCCCTAGGATATATAATATTTGTCCTCTAATGCAACAAAGTAGAATAAATAATAAAACAAATTTAATTCAAATTGACCATTATATAGGTTTGTATTTGAGAACTAATTATAATAATTGCTTATAGGCTTGCTGTTAAGTATAGCAGTTATGTCTCATGGTCCAGGATTCAATTCCTTGCATAGTGTAAACATTTATATTGTTTATATCAGTCTAGGTGATTTCTATGTATATATTATTTGTAATTTTGATAAAAATAGTATTTCTATGACCCTTAACACTAACTATGCTTACCATGGGACTAGATCTTGGTGTGTTAATTGTCCAGCGTTATTTATTATTATTAATATTTGAATAAAGATTATTTCTATTATTTCTAATGGCCTTTTCTAAGCATTATATTTATATAGGTATTATAAAAAATGCTGTGTCTCAGTATGAGAACTATATATACACTGTTATGCTTTGAAATATTAAGAATATTAGCTTATAGTGTTTATATGTATGATTAAATTACCTTCATAGTGAGATTGGCTTCTCTCCGCACTATACTAACATGATGCCACTGGGTGTCATTTAGATAAACCCCTTTAGGAGATGATAATTCACTTTCACCAGCTCCCAGGTTTATGTGCAGTTTTAATCGGCCACTTTCTAGACGTATCTACAACAATAGTACAAGAATTAGATGTAACATAACTACACAGCTTATTATACCCTTCGAGCAACTAATCTGGCTTTGGGTTAATCAAAGACAGAGAGTAGACTAAAGAAAAGAAACATAAGTCTTATAAACAAAATACAACAATTAAAGATGTATTTATCTGGTATACACTATAATAAATTCTTTGACAAGAAATTAATAAATTTACATATAAAACTTTATATGTAAACTTTAAAAGTAAATGGTGTCCTTCAGGCCTTCTTTAAATATTTTTTTAAGTCTTTTATTTTATTTTATGGACTAAAATCCTGCAACACTGGAAATGTCATTTTATTGGCTGGAATTAATAATCTTACTTTAATGTACATACGGGGGGGAAAGGAGAGCATAGTAACATGGACCGATGATCTTATTGCTAGCAATGTATAGTACATCAGTCAGATTAACCACTACACATTTCCCCCGGGAAACTAGAACAAATTCACCAAGAATTTATTACAATAGGCTAACTGACCTAACCTCATACTCATTTCATCATCCTCCTCTGGTGCCCCGCTAGCGTATGTAAGCCGTTAGCGCAGGCGGGTGAACCATAACATTATCATACGTAAAAATATGTACAAACAAAATGAAACTTGATTGCTATAATGGAAAATGTAATAAAAACATACTTACCATGCAGTAGTCAGTTTTTCCAGCGGCAAGCAACAATAGTGCATCGGATAAGTGGGTACGAAACCGAAAACTAATGTCTGTTACACCCTTTGCTTCTTGAAGTGGATATGATATGTAGCTGGCGCCATAGAAAGATGCTAGAAGTGAAACAGAAACTTGTACAAAAATGTTTTTTTTTCTTTTTTATATCCTGGGATTAATTGACCGAGCCCTTATTTTATATTTGATTTTTCTTTTGCACAATTACGTAAAAAAAAATTAAAATCTAATTACTTTCTTTTAAAGTATCTGATTATACAATTGTATTTGCCTGATTCAACAGTTGTTCATTCCTCAAAACATTTGTACATAATTGATTACATTACCCTGGATGTTCTACTAAGTCTATAATGTAAACAAATATTTAAGCATGTCTGCCAGTTGCCTTACAATAACTACAGAAGCTCTGCTAAGCTTGCATAATATACCCAGGATTATTTATAATTAATTATTTATGTTCAATTCTAATTGTATTAAAATAATTTTCTTTATCATTATTTATTTTAATTAATACTGTTTCCTGTAATTAATACTGTTGCCAAATTAGGCCAAAAAGGCGTGTGATTTAAAGGAATAACAAAATGTTACAAAAATATTTAACTCACCTTTATCATATGCCAGAGCCACATAAATTAGTGATAAAATTAGAAAAACTTCCATCATAAATAAAAAAAATTGAGAACACAAGATGAAATTGAAACGCGTTGGATTAGCGCATCATCAAGTTCATGTTAATGCTACGTATTTTGGCAAAGTATTGTTTTCAAGTTAATGTAATTTTTTAAGGACATCTCCAAGTCAACAAGGCAGGCGTGGCGTAGTGACGCTGTTGGTTGATATACAACACTAACGGACAATTATGCATTTACAAAGCTGTATTTTATAACGGTTAACTTAATGTATTCAAACAATGTGATTGTTTATGTTTTCATTATATAAAAGTATAAGTCAAGTTAGAAATATCTTTTCAGGCTTACACACAATACACATCTATCACGTTCTGTTTTTTTTTATTTATTCATGACCATGGTAGGGTTGCCAATCTCAAAACACACCCTAGCACGAAAAATTAAAAAATCAAAGGAGTCACAAAGTCAGTTATAGCAATTAAGATGTATATTAAGTATTTACAGATTATTCATTAAAGAATGATATTCCTTAACAAGAAGATGCAGTCTATTTTGGATTACTGGGTGTCCTAATTTTCGAAACCAATTTTCAGTTGAGTTATGATTTTCTTCGTTATGCCCGTACTTAAAATTTTATTTATTTGCTCAGAGAAGCAATAGCCTGAAAAGTTTAGAAATGATATAGAATAAAGAAAAGATTTTTTTAAAGAACAATCAGTATATTTTAAACTAACTAATACAGCACTAATCCGCTACAGCTGGTAACATTGTTTGAAAATTAAACATTTATTGTCGATTTATACTTGTCTATTTAGTCTCCGTGATAAAAAAAAATAGATTATAGTGTATATGTTTTAGGCAACGAAAAATATTGTTTTGTTAACTAAATGAAATTTCAATTCTCGCCGCTATCGTAAGAAAGTTGATTGGGGGCGCCACTACATTATTACACTCAGGTCCAGCAACGTAATGTTACCAACACTTCGTTTTTATATAATTGTGGCATGTTATGTCATGTGGCGGGGTTATAGCGACAAGTTGTCAGAAAAGACGTTCAGAAGAGACATTCAGTGCGCAACGCTAATAATTTGAGTGAAATTGAACCCTTAACTAATACTTTATTTTAAATGGTCGCATCTAAAATAAGGTGGTGACCTAAATCGCTAAACAATTGAGTTCAAATTTAATATTTAAACGTTTGACGTTATTGTCTATAAATGCACTATAAATAATTGATTTATAGAGTTGTGGACATTTATTCTCATACAATAGTTTATTATACGACAATATGAAAATGTTATGTGTAGTAAACAATACTTTAATGAAATCCTAATCAATTTTAGTTAATTAAGGCTGTATACGGACATGTCCTAGGCTTTGCACCAAAATATTTGGCCACAGAGTACTCTCAATTCTATTGACATTGACAATTATGATAGAGTAAATACTACTGTGCATTTTATACCCACATCTGAAAAAAAAGGCTGTTTGATCTGCGCTCCACATTACTTCACCCCTCACCCCTCATCCATCCTTCAACATAGTTTTTTTAGCTCGTTTGTTCTTTCGTCTAATAAAACTATTGTATGTTATATATATATATATATGCTTTAGGTTGTGAATTAATTTGGTTTGTTGTTGATATACATAATTATTACTTTTCCATTTAAGAGACACACAATTCTGCACATTTAATAGAATTTTCTGGTACAAATATGAACAATTCTACTGCAAAGGTGAGTTCGAATTACTCAGCATTTACCAAGTGCATAGAGTGCATTGATTTTAATAAACGATACAGCGCAAGTGCAAGGCTTACTGGGTCGATTGAGCGCGTATCGGCTGTTGGTCTGGGCGTTGGTTTAGAGCAGTGCAACTGCATTATTGAACGAGCGCCGCTGCAGTAAGGTGCAGTTACTAGGGAATATGCGCATACCGCATTGATTTTAGTTCATTGTACATAAAGAATTGCTGGCGTCACCAGCTATAAGTCAGTTGTGATAAAGTTGCCCATTGAGATACATTTCTCTCTCTACTCATATCAAGCTTTAATATTATATTTAAAAAGTTTTTAACAATGCCAAAATATTTTCTATTTCTTAGGTCGGAGAGATCTTCCGTGAGGCCGGGGTTGCATTCAATAAACTGTCTGATATGACTATGCTGCTGCACCCGATGGGAGATTCACAGCCGGGGTAAGTATTGATTTCTTTTTATCCTTTGTTCACACACCAAGAATCTAGTCAAGTCTCCAGTATCCTACCCCCAGGTAGGGAATTATGATTAATGTGGACTAGACCTGACCTCTGATAGCATTGTCTTTTTCTGGAATCCATTGTGGTTAATTCCTGATGAAACAGTAATTATAGGATAACTACCCCGACTATATACTCATCCTGACATCCTCCACTGGGGCCCAGCCAGCTAGTCTGTTATCGCAGGAGGTAAATGGTGTAATATTGATTAATGACCCACAATGCTAGCTATGAACAATGTGACGTTGATCTCTGTGCGGCTTCCGCTGGAATCCATTATTTAAGACGAATAGTGGTCAATTTGCCGCAATAGGCTAACAAACCTGACCTCTTGCTCATCTTATAATCCTCTCCTGGTGACCACCAGTATAATCCATCACGCCGGTGGTTGTACCATTGGAGCAATAATGACCCCGCATCCTTTCTATTGTCATCTGACCACATTTTGTATTGTATTCATTGTTTTTGCTTAGAAATATAACTATCTAGTACCATTTAATTTATTATACATTAAAAAACTGTAAAGATTGATGGACTGTAAAGGTCACTATTCTTTCATATTCCATTAAGAAAGTCTTTATTATGGGACACCAGGGAGAAGGGATTGTTACTAAATAGGAGCAGAGGTTGTTTGATGAAAAAGTATGGTCATCATTCCTACAATAATACTTCCGTTGCAGATCTGTGGTAGTGCAATTCAAAGAAAATTAGGGTGTGGTCATGTCATCAGAAACTGTTCATTTAGGCAGAAGTATTGTAATATGATATATTTTTTAAGACTTTCATGCCTAGGCCTTATTATTAAAGCAATTACTAAACTTCATTCGCTTTGTAAATGTAGCAAATGGCTGCTGCCATAGACAAAGCCTTCCCCTGTAACTTTGTATTATACAAGTTGGGCGTGGACGCGCCTGCGCGTGTAATCCTATACCCTATGTATATATGTCTACATTACGAAATCTTTAGTTCGTTTTGACCCTGCGCACATATTTCCGATAGCAGTCTAAAAGGTTTCTGTCGACGGCGCAGTTCTATTGGCGCATTTAAAGAATCGAACAGCGCCGTCGCACAGTTCGTCCGGGCTGAACCTTATAATGTGAGTCTGGTCTATTTTTTTTTATTTATAAATAAATAAATTTATTAAGGATATATTATTATAATATCCCACCCATATTATGATTATGACCCTACACCAGTGGAGGATAATAAGATGAGATGATGATGAGCATAAAGTCAGGTCAGTGAGGCCTTGTTGGCAAATGACAATTTACGACGGAACCGCCTGGCCGCTGGTCGGTGCCGGTGCACGGGCCTTCGGCGGGCGACACTCCTTGGTGACGCCCATTTTGTGGTCGGATTTGCAACCCGCCGCAGCACATTACCGACATTGCTAGCAATGGGGTTCACCCTTATTGCTAATAATCGTCTTCTCATTCATTATTCGTGAATAATATATATAATATACATAGGTTCGCCAAAGGGGGTGGGGCAAGGGAGGCCAACTGCCCATCCCTGAAGATTTTGTGTCTTACAATAAAATATCGGACCTGCGCCTCATGAAGCCAGAAGCAAACCTGACAATCCCCTTCCGGGTCAGAATCTGGGTTAGCCAGGAAAATTGCAAACTCATAGTTTGAATTTGTCTAATGACATTTTTAGACTTAAATGGACCCCCATTTAAGTTGATTTTTTTTTTGTAATATTGTATACTAGCTGTGTCTCGCGGATTCGCCCTCGTAAAATTTATAGCCTATATGTTATTCTGATGCATAAGCTATATTAGGTACTGTAAAGTTTGATCAAAATCCGTTTAGTAGTTTTTGCGTGAAAGAGTAACAAACATTCATGCTCACAAACTTTCTCGTTTATAATATTAATAGGATAAGATATGCATATGTATATTTCAGCTATTTACTGTATTGAGAAATGGACTGTTTTGTCATAATTATATTCATTTTTTTTTATAAAAATGATAATGGATCAATCAAATCAAAATAAATAAAAATATTTTTATTCATGTAGGTCAATTCTAAACTTTTATGAAGTGTCAAATCTACCGTCAGTCGGAGTGCTTGCGAGCTGAGAAGAACTTACAAGAAACTCAGCACGTATTGTTTTCAAATATGATTGTACATGTTTGCAATAATACAGGTTCATTTTTAAATTTAAATTTGGGAGAATAGAGTGAACACCAGGAAATGCTATTACAATTTTGTCAAAAGAAAATATTCTAATCAGTGTTCGTATTCCGAACAGACCAGTTCTCAAATTCAGCATCCGTTCACGAGTATGCCGGATGGAATGTAATTAAAATGTATATTAAACTTCTAGTGGGAAATGGACAGAGGAAGAAATTGAAATGTTACGTCTGTGTGTACATCGATTTGCAGTTGACCTTAATAAACTCAGTCAACACATTAAGAGTAGGACTGTGTAAGTACATAACATATCTAATTTAACATTACAGAAAGGTAATTTCTATTTAAGCAACATTTTACCACTCTACAACTTAACCACCTATGGTTGGAGTATTGATATTAAATTAAATAAACAATTGTTAGTGTATGTATATATTTTCGATATAATCTTAGTGATTTTTCTTCTGTTAATTTTTTTTGCAGTTGTCTCTAGCAAATATATCACTAGAAATAGTCATAAATATGGTTTTTTTAAGTTTACTTTTACTGATTGAGGACTTCTCCAATGATTACAAACAATATCCTGTATCCAATATCCCACCCATGGTATATGTGGTGTCATTGTGCAGTGGTGTGACAATTTATTTATTTTACTGGAATGCAACAAGTTAATATCCACCATCCACCATATGATGGAAGGAAGGGTTTAGTTAAGATAAAGAAATACAAGATACGTAGGCATATTTTGTACAATGTTTGTCGTCCGGAATCGATTGAGAGAGTACCTATTACATACACATGCATATAGTCCACGGTTACCACTCACCATCACGTGGGCCGTGAGTTATTTTAATTTAATAAAAAAAAACTTGTAAGACATATGGCAATTGCTAATATACATAGATAGATAACATCGGGTCCTGCATATTGCAGGTCTCAAATTCGCACAACCCTTAAGAAGAAAGCGTTCGAGGATGCAGGTATACCTGTAAGACAGGTAAGCAGTACAGTGACGAGCCACAGCCAGCCGCAGACTCCACAGGTAGCATCCACACTGAGCGTGATCAACACACAGAACGTTATAGGAAAGAACGCCGAGGTTCAAACATTCACTAACAGACTTAGAATTCATGAGTTATAGATGTTGTGCTGTCTTATTTTTTCGTTAGTGAAGTTTGTTTTAAAGAGCTTCGCCCGCACTAGATTGTTGCATGTACGTTATGGTGTTACCATAGATGTTAATCGCTGCCTTTATATGTACGCTATTTCACGCGAATCGGCTTTCACGTAGGAGAGAATAAGCATGTAATAGTAGATGAAGATAAATGACAAAGACCCAACGCGCCTCCAGCTCACGCACGAGTCCTGCAATCGTGTGTACTTTACCGTCTTTTTGTAATACTTAATTATAGAGTTATCGATAATTTATAAATCTTAAACATGTCTTTGAAAATTAAAATCTAGGGATTATAGATATTTTTTAAATGAAAGTGAAATGACATGAATGAATCCTACGCATACACATGAAACATATACATACGTTATCACGCGCGAAAGAGTGAACTTAAAGAATAGTTAAATACAATCACTCACGATTGCGCGCGCTGGTTATCCTGCGTGAAAGAACGTGTCGTGTAAAGCGGGCAGCTAAAGTCATAGATTATTATTTGCTACCTGTTTTATTTTTATCGTTAGTTATAATAGAAGTTTAATTAGTTTTGAATTGTACTATAGCGTAGTTTATACAAAATGTAGTTTGTCTCGTGCCGTAATTAGTTTTACTTGCACTTATTTTTTTAGCACACGTTTGATTGTCTAAGATACTGTATTATAGTATATTTACTTTTGAATTCGTTCACCAGTTATAGCGTGATTGTTTTCAACATGCAAATATTAATATGTCTAAGATTATTTGCAGTTTAGGATACTTTATATAAAAATTACAGAATTATGCATGAGATTTTAAATGCAGTATCATAGATTTTTTCAATTTGATGATAATTAGGTATGTGCTACAAACATGAAACTGTTAAATTTGAACAATTTAGGTCTCGACGTCGACGTCTTCATACTGCCCTGTCCCACCGATGAAAACTAGCATTAGCGGGTTGGAAATATTGTTTATTGCCGTATGTCTACCACTATGGCAACAAAGAATGTTTCTAATCTTCTGGTGACTACATCACAGAGGAAAAACGACTACGAGCTACGCTGCGGTGACATTTTCTACGTATGTCATGTACACATAATCTTGACGCGTGGAGTTCTAAGTTTATTTTTAGAATAGAATAGAAGATCCTTTCTTTCCTGAAATAAACTTAATTTAGGCACTTATATATATATTAATCATAACATTTATTTTAATTTATCGCTCATTCGGAAAGCATTACAAGAAGAACGAGCAAGAAACTTCTGTGTTGCTCTTTTAAATAATCCTTGTAAGTTCACATTTTCAAGTCGAAACGTGAATACAAACTACCAACTAGCACTAATTTATTAGGGTTAAATAAATATACACAATAAGATTAAATCAGTCGTAGTGATAAGAGCAGACCTGTCCCTACAAGTAGCACTCGTTCACGAGTATGACATTTTATTTATTTATTAATATTGGATCATCATTGGGTATGAATATTGGATAAGCTGACGGCTCACCTGATGGTAAGTTCTGACTGTAGCTTATATACATGAGTAGCACTACGAACATCACGGTATTATGTGATACCCGTGATACCATTCACTCGTTGCTATTCCAGGGGACTAATATGGGATGCTTCTTATCCTGAAATCTCATTGCCTAATGTGCTCCCTAATAAAGCTTACAAAGTAAGCTACTTGGCCTCTGAGGCCTGAGACTGAGGTAATTTACAGTCTCCTTTTTGTTGGATATTTATACATATTAAACTTACTGATATTTTTTTTATTCACTTCAAATATCAATTATACACCCCGCTTCGACTTTTACTACTACCTCGGCCTCGGTGTTTCAACGGTTTAGCACACCCCTTTCTTCCGATGGTTGCGGGTTCGATTCCTCGCACGGTGTAAATATTTGATTTCTTACAATTGTTTGTATTCGTCTGGCTGATTTCTATGTATATTATACATGTATTTAAAAAATGTATTTAAGCATTTCTATTACTTATTTAGTATCCAAGCTTAGCTTGGGACTAGATGGCGCTATGGAGTTAGTCAAGGGTTATTATCATTAAACTTCCGATAAATAAAATTTCTTTGAAAGCTCCACGCTTCAAGGTTAATATGAATGTATTATTGCATTTTTTTATTGTGTATATTGATAATAAAATTCATTGATTTACATATACCCTTGTGGAACTATAGTCGTAATGAGAATGTATACAAAAATATAAAAAAAAGGACTTTATTACAGTGATATAGATACTTAATATCTTTAAACATTACCTTAGAAGAGTGATTATGATAATTACTATTTATATGACGAAACTATAATCTACTTTCGTTATATAAATAGTAATTAAGTTTGAACTTGTATACCCATTACGACTGTACATTGTACATATATTTTTATCGTTCAATATTAAAATGTACGTGTATTCTTATGTTTATTGAGTGTTGTAGTATAGTATATGTAGTTAAAGTGTTATTAGATTTTTAATGGTACAATTTGAATGATTATAGCTAAAAATACCAAAGGTACAGTTACACACTATTTCGTACTTGATATTATAATTTTAGCTATTTTCAAATCAATTGTTACTACCAAACAATACAAGTGTTTGTTTAGCACAATTAAAAGCAATTCAACTTTAGATCGAATTAAAATAAAATTATACTATAAGTATTTAAAAATATCTGTAAAGTGATCATGAGTAATCATAGTACAAGTTACATATTTTAATTCGATTACGGTCTAAAGTGAATTTTTTATACACAATAATTTTGTATACATGAACTGAATGCTTAATTTAAACAATAATAATTTATAAAAGCCCTTTATTCTAAAATTACAATTTATGTGGCTGTTATACTAATATTGTAATACATTGGTTTCTACAATTTGCAACTCTTCTCCATTTTCACCCATTTATAACTTTAATTCGATGTAACTTTCGAGATAACTTTACTTCCCATTTCATTTTCTACCTGGCCCTATTTTTATTTCCGTCTCTAGGATTCGAATTTAAAGAAATGTATTCTAAATTACATTACAATGTGTACACAAAATTATTAATAACTGTGTTAAATTTTTACTATATACGATACATAACGAGGATTTTTCGGTTTACAGGTCACCTTGAATATGCTGAACGCATCAGAGAACGAGGTGGACGTTGAAGGGCTCAGCGGAGACGTGAAGCTCGAATTCGACGCAACCAACGAGGAAGTGGCCACCTGAAACCTATTCAGCTTCCCATACTAGCTATAAGATGACCGCGGCTGTACGAGCATGGACGACCTATGTAAAAACACAATTCAGAGCAGTGATTTATCTCCTAAAGTCTATTAACCCACTCGGCGTTTGCCACAACTAAATTTACAGACAAACCAGTCTGAAATATCTTTTTTTATTTGTAGTAGTGTAATGCAGACAAAATCAGTTGGCACTATCTAACTCGTGCATCGCACTCTTGACAAAATTTTGTTTTTGATTATTTTCTGATTAACGAATTCATTGTTTTTATTATTGGAGCGTAAAATGTTCAGGATTAATTATATACCTATAAAAAACAAAAATCTAGTGATACACAACTACAAATTCAAAAATGTCTTATGTTAATTTACAATCTGCTAATTAAAATATCTTAATATGCATAATTAATGTTTATTAACGTCACGTCACGACATGGAAACGAATGAACTTTAGGAAAGACGTATAAAAAAAATAATTATGCATATTAATCTTCCATAATAATATCTAAATAGAGATCAAATGAAATATACTATTTTTGGAGGTTACAACGAAAGTGTTTTACAATAAAATTATAAGAGTTTCAGAATGTCAAAATTATTATTAGCTATTAGACTTTCATAACAAATAACTCATTTCCTTGTAAAAAGTAATAAATTACATTATACATCCCTTCAAAGTGGTAAATATATAAATATTTTTAGTTATAAAGCATAAAACTTTATTTATTAAAAATGTAATCCATATTGATGTTTTACAAAACATTGCAAATCAGATGTTCTATTATATGTCAAAACTGAATACTAAAAACTAGTTATTGAAATAACAGTAACCTCCAAAAGGATAGGTATTATAAACGCATGTATCTGGGATAATAGATATTGGGAATTTAAAACTCCTTTCTATCTGCAGTGTGGTAACTATATCACACATAATACAGAGTTATATTTTTGAATATACACACTATTTTTGTAACAATTTTTAATAGTTTAAAGATAATCGCACTTATAAATCCAAATTACCAGTCCTTTTATTCTAAATTGTCATACAGTATTTAGAACAACGTACGAAATTATTCACAATCATAATAAATCTGACCAACTCATACAGCGCCATCTAGTCCTAATTGTACGAAATAGGTTTATAGGCAACGGATACCACTTAGTTTGGCCACAGGTGGACAGTTCTCTACATAATTTAACTTTGTCGAATACAACTGATAATGGCTTCTAAATTAATGATGAATAAATGTTTTGCATTTTAAACGACATGACATTTCTATAGTTCTAACTTAATAACCATCAAATAGAATTGTTAGAGAAAACGTATTGGATTGGGTTAGTGCGAATATCTTTGAACTAGTTTAGCACGATAGGATATACCAATCTGAAATGCAGTGATAGGTTTTATAGAACCGAAACACTTTCTAAGAAAATAGCCGTAAAGTTGATTTTTCAACGGACTCTTAAAAGGATCTTATGATTTTGACTCTATGATATGCGCCATCTGTGCCAAAATTGAATTTTCGTGTTCATTCAATTTGCAATTATGTTGCTTTGGGATAAATATTAATTTTCATTAATACGACCAATCACGTTTAGGCTGGTATATCATTTTCGGCTTAGGAATAGAAACATATTTTAAATATTTTTTTAAAACCGAATTCATGGGTCTGCAATATACCAAAATATTAAGAAGTTGTAAGGTATCATAGTTATTTAGTAATATTGTAAAATCACTTACAATTCACTAAAAAACAACAAAGTAATATAGTATCTGAATAGTTAAAATAACGCAGAGCACCATCTAATATACAAACATATACAAAATCTAAAAACGTTTTGGATTCGGTAAAAGATAAAAGTAAATAATTATTTTTATGAAGAAATCTCTATTTTGTATGTATATATTTAATATTCATTATATAAGTGTCGTAAACCTTTATCTCACACTCGTATTTCGTCATTGTAGCACCCTTTAAGATTTATATTGGCTTCACTACAATATTTTGCCAATAAATATCATATTGTTACGTTATAGGATGCTTATATTATAGTTTTTAAACTAGAAGCACTTCTATTGTTAGGTTTTGTAATTTACCTTAGATTACTACGTATTATACAAATGGGACATTTCTGGTTTATATGTGTGTATTCACTTTTTAGTGTTTAACAAATCAAATCAATTTAAAATATTTTTATACATTTAGATCTATTACGGACACTTGTCATAAGTCAAGTCAACCGTCAGTACGGAATGAAGCATGAGTCGGGAAGTAGTAACAAGAAACTATTTAATTTATAACACCCTTTAGTCATCATTATTTACTTATGCACATATTATTTAAAAACTATTAACTAGTACATGTTATCCTTTTATTGTTTAGCCAATATTCTTTTATCTTTATTCTATAGTCGTATAAGTAGTGTTCTTATAGATTCATCCGATTTCAATTATAAACTTTAAAGCCTCCGTACTCTGTTATATATTTTTAGAAGTAATCCTTTAGTAATGATAAAAAAGTACAAGTGTTTTTAAATTTACAGTTAAGAGTAGTCCAGGATCTCGTAATGTCTATGTGTTAATTGAGAACTTGAAACAATTTTCAATATTAATTAATTAAAACATGTTCTAATACACTACAATACAAGATTCGCATTCAACTGTAATTAATTATATTTTGATGGTATAAAATATTTGAAAACTTTAAAACATAATTTTAGGCCTATTCAATTTTAATCTACGATATAATTACGATCCATAAAGATACCATTCTCTTCATTAATCAAATCTACGATTCTAAAAAACTGAAATTATTTTTAATGTTTCAGTTTTTTTTAATTATGTCGTTTCTGTTATAACATTTTAAAAGTAATTAGTTATATTCTAATGTTCGTCCAATGTTGAAATTCGATTACTTTTTAATTTTTAAACTTCAACGATATAACTTTTTTAATGTCAATTATTATAAAGGGTATTTACTTGTTTTTATGTGTATGTGTTAATATTGTGTATGTCTATGCATTATTATGTAACAAATATTAGCTTTCTGTATTTCATACAAATTTTAACTTTGTCAATTTCATATTCGTCTGTACACGTTTTCATAAAAACTTTTTGCTTCACGTGAACGAAGTGAAATAATTTATTTGCACATAATGAAATATATATATAATAGGTTTCTTACATGTCCGGCCAAAATTGTAATTGCATAAATGCTGACTGCTATAAATTAATTAAATTATAATTATAGATTGTTGTAACATATAAATCGATGAAATCTAGTTAATCATCATTACTTATACAAATGTTTGTAGATTTTATCTAGTTTAGTAGGAAATATAGAAAAAAGTACGTAAAAGGCGTATTAATCAAATATGTAGTACTGTAATTAGAATTTTTTGTATATTGGAAATTGTTTCTGGAAATTGAGAAACATTCTGACGTTGCGAGATTTCTGTAGTGAATTATCTTAATGAATACTTTCTTAAGAACGCTCGGGATATTGTCTATCTCCATCTCTTAAGTACATACATAAGTGTAAGAATCACAATTTATGTTTCATTTTGATTTTCTAGAAAATAAACGATGTTATACTTAGCATAATTCAGACATCTAAATGTTCATTATGAATAATATTAGGTGATATATTTTTTATCTAATAAGAATCCAATATCAAATAAAATTAAGGTACACATAAATATTTAATTACCTCGTACTCTGCATGTCTGTCTATACTTATCCAATTTATTGAAGTTGAAAAAAATATTGAGTAAATAGTGTGGAAACCTGAAAATTAGACTAGTTGCAATAGTTTAGTTAGGTCGGCCCTATATTTGAAGACTCGACGTTGATCCGACCTGTCGGCGGGTCTGGTCGGGTGTTAAATCGTGCTATGCGTAGATACTAGTTTAGGGAGGGAATATGCCCACTATTAGAACTCTGATGATAACGACTAAATTTTAATTCTGCTATAATACTTTTACCGAAAATAAATTGCGGTTTTCAATCAATTTTCATGTCTATACTTTAGTAATCCTTTACATATTTATGTATATGGTAGTATAGTGGTTCTGGTTTTATACTTATAAAATACTAATATGAATATATTGTAAATTTACAATGACCACTACAAATGGGGTTATTCAGTAGTATTAGTGATATTCATGAATATATTGTAGTTCCATATTTAAACTTTATAGTCAGTGATATACAGTAATGTTAATGATTATATTATTGTTCCATATTTAAACTTATATTAAATACTACAGTTTGGTATATTCAATAGTCAGTGATATTCAGTAATGTTCAAAAACATATTTTGTTCTGTTTTTATACTTACATTATATATTACAGTTTGGTATATTCAATAGCCAGTGACATTCAGTAATGTTCATAAATATATTGTAGTTCCATTTTTATACTTACAATAATTACTACAGTTTGTTATATTCAATAGTCAGTGATGAATATCAATGAACATTGCTGAATAGCAATGTTCATGAATATATTGTTGTTCATTATGTATACTTACAATAAGTAGTACAGTTGGGATTATTCAGTAGTCAGTGATATTCTAATGTTTATCAATATATTGTATGAAATGTAGACCTGTAACGATGGTCGTATAACTATAGTATGTTTACATACAATGTCTAAATGTCTTCATTTTCGGCTATAAATCTTTGCTGTATATATGGGTGAGACATAACTCACGATGTGCTACATATAGGTTGCGGTCTTGTTTCGCTGCGAGTAATTAATAATTAGTAGTCTGTGATATCTTCTAAGATATTCATTTTAATATGCCATAAAGGCAATTTTGTCTACATCAATTACGCATCTATGTATGTAACATAATTAATTGGATAAGAATGAATACTATATTATGTAAAATGGCGTAGTAAATATCCCATTATTTTTTAGTAGTATATAAAGGTTACTGTAGGCTAAGTATAAACATTAGAGTATAGAGAAACACCATTGCGGAATTTTCTGTAGACTTTCTAAGAAATTTAATCACATATCTCTTAATGTTTATCCAGCGTTAGTAATGTAAGGGTTTACTAATAGATCTTCGAAATTTCTGAGACTTTCTCTACTATAATATGTAATCGTAATTTAGTATAATATAAATATTCTGGAAGAAGTTATGTAAATTATAGTGAAAATCATATTAAAATTGCGTGGCTCAAAAGTACCTAAACGAATAAATAGACAGATGGAAACAGCTACTTCTCGTTATACTATTTAGAGATATTAAAGTTATATTCGTAGGTAGGTATTTTATCTATTTTGCAATAATTATTGTATATAAATTTTACTTGATTCTGTGTATCAAGGGTAAATGGTTTTGAGGTAGACTGTTAAGAGTCGTCTTGTTGGGTACCTCAGTCCTACTTTTTTGTGGAACCAGCTTGTTTTATAAGCTGTTTGACTGAAATAACAGAACAAGAGGCATAACATCTTAGTTCTCTGGAATGGCAAAGCATGAGTGGTATCGAGTGTGATATGATAACGTGATGTTTTTAGTGAAGTTAAGTGGTATGGGTTTTACATGTTAACTTGATGTCCGTAGTTCTGTTAAAGTAGATGGGCGATGGTTACCGTTTCATATCACAGTAGCCCGTCAGTTACTTTGCCATTCATTTGTATAAAAAATGGGACTATTGTAACTAACTGAGTCCTCCTTCGTTTCCCTACTTTATTCGTATCTAAATAATTTGGCCTTAAAATTATACTTACTTTTACGCCTGTGCCTTATGTGGTCTTCTCGAAGGACAAGTGGGGGTGACGTGACTCCACGTTCGGAGTCGTTATGCTATTTAGTTTGTAGGTTAGCTCGTGTCTCTTTTAGCTCGTTATCTCCAGTAGCGGTGAATTTCGTAAATTTAATTATTACCGAACTATGTGAAGTACAATCTTATATTTATGTGTCTTTTTAATATATCTGTAACTCTATAACAGCGTGCATGAATTTCTTACCCTTTTACATATATTTTTACTTTATCTCAACTCCTAAAAGTAACTATATGTATCAAATCAGATTTCGCGGAATTTACATAAATTAACAATGTCCTATAGTTGCACAGTCAGCTTTATATACATCTATTTTATCTATACAACCACTCAAGTAGTAATAACTTGGCATAATAATTTCACATCACGTTTGAAATAATTTACATTTGATTAGAATAAAACGTTATTTGTAATCGGTGATCTTTTAAGTGAACAATTATTATTACCATAATTTATTTCTCTTTAGTTGTATAACTTGTTAAATTTTAAATGTTAAGCTATTGTATACATTTTTGCTGTGAACAACTAAGGGTATCTTTACATAGCCGACTGTACCCATTCTTTTTACATGGAAAAGAACTATAAAGTAAAATTATTAATATAATTATAGGTGACATCTATACGTTCTTTTGACGTGTTATGTGCAAAACCTCGCCTTAATTACCTCATGGGGGCAACCCTGAGAGAATCCCCTGCCTCTAAGATTAACTTCTCTCAGTAATGTTTACTACTGCAATAAGAAATAATTATTATACCCTCTAATATATTATTTGCAACGAATTAAACCTATTTATTGTGTAGATGTTTGTGAACTGTACTGAACTTTCTAAATTTTTATATTTATTTTGTAAGTAATTAACAAAACACTTTAGAATGCTGTCAAATTATCTGCATTCCCTTTTACTATGCATAGTATTAAACAAAAGTATACATTTTACATTGCAAATATTGATATAATAATAAATAATTAAGATATAATTTCGTAGCTCTAATGTCATAATTGTTTCCATATGAAAATTCTATTGTTTCGTTTTGTGTAATAACCTTCAAATCTGCTGTGTTAAGACAGTCACAGTATGTTTTAATAGGTATTATAAGCTATCCATGCTATAGTGATTAGAGTGAAAAAATATTGTAATTAAATAAATTTATTGTGTGACAAGATACGAAATTCCTTTATTATCATAATACTATGTTCTGTATATGCATATGATTTGGTTGCAACCAAAATAATTTTATATAAGGTCTATATGTAGGATACATTAATTTTTGTTAATAAATGAAGGCTTAGTGAATCACCTTCATGCGGCATGTATATCTTAATGAAATATCTTTATCGAAAGTTAAGTTCAAAATATCCTTTGGCGTTTTAGTCTCATTAAAAGGTCTAATAACTTTACCTGAATAGGTCCTTTAAGAGAGCTATCTTATATTTATATGTAGTATTAAAGTTTTAGACATCGCTGTTTTAGAATTAAATTGAAATTTGTGTGTGTACAAATACATATATTTGCTTTATTGTAGAGCTACGATGAAAACAATTAGTTCTTTTAATATATAAGCCGAACTCTATTTGTACTTTTATTTGATGTCGTCAGTTTATATGTGATCGATTTAGTATGAGAGTTTCAAATTGTAATATAAAATTTCCACTTTTAAGGAGGCATTCTGAAGGACGTCACACATTAATGGAGAGGTTACGACAAAGTATGTCATTGTATGGTCCTAAATTTCTTAACTTCACTTTTCTAAATCTGATGTAACTAATTTTTAAATGAGAATACGAACTATTTTTAATGATATAATGTTACATTTGGTAGGGGTAAAAATATTGTGTGTCGTAATTTGGCCCATACTGGGAAAGTTTTTAGTTACTAACTCTGATTTTCGACTTAGTATGTAATGTTTATAAAGTATATCTTACAATAGTGCGTTCCTTTCTAAATAAATATGTATTTACACGTTTCAATAAATATAGAGGGTTAATTTATTCAGACTATTTAAATGTTATTTATTAAGCAGCACCTAGTGGTAGTATGTTTATGGCAGGCGAACGTTTCCTCAGTGTGATGCCCTTAATTAAATTTAGGTAGGTAATGTTCTATAGAAGTAGTTCATATTATATCATGTCTGTTCGTATATGGCTTCAGTCTCTGTAACTGTGTGTATAGTGATAATGTACAATTTGTTAATATAATTCACATTCAAATATCTAAGTGTGAATAAATTTTAAAAAATGTATTACCTGTTTTATTTCACAAGCAAGATAACATGATACCTTGGACCTAACGGATGCAGGATATGGCTAATGTGTTACTGTGACGGTTAAGCCATTTTTAACTAGATATCATTCTACCTTGCTAATATTATAAACGCTAAAATTTGTGAGTATGGGTGGTAGGATGTTTGTGGCTCTCACACAGGTGGAAGGAATTGTTCCCTTGACTAAACAATTTACCATGTCTGGTTAACCTACACGTGGATCTCCCTAGAAGCTATCATGACAAATTCATAATTTATTTACCTCCACTGGTGCCCTGCCAGCGTAAACCGTAAGTGGCGTAAACTCACGTAAAAACTCTACGTGTTTTGGATTTAAATGAAATTAAATGAAACTTTACAATAAAATAGGTAATGTAACACATTAATAGGCTATAATTTTACACGTGTATGTGTCTTTATTACGTTCGCTACCTACCTACGCCTTTCTTATCTTTCTTTTTCTTGGTCCACCCAAAGAAAGTCTGGATAAAAATTGTTTAGCGATAAGACCGCCTTTTATGTCGGTTAATTTACTATTTTGAATATTTTCTGTATTTGGTGCAACAAAAAGTGTAAATAAATAAATCAGTAGCTCAGTATTACAAAAAATGTAAACATTAAAACAAGGGAATCTCGTAATTTCTTTTAATTTACATATAAGTACATCGATTTTATAAAATTATGTGTCTAAGTAGGTATACAATGTACTACATTATACACGTCTAAAGTAGTTATAATTAAAAATAGGAAATAAAATATTCACAAGTCATTTGACTAGAAACGTTATTTATATATATATTGTGTGTATGCTAAAATGAATAATTCAAAGGTAACTAAGCAATCTTGTCATACTCCTTATTTTACAGGAGTTCATCCTTCATTTACCTAACTCTGCTGATCGTTACATTTCTACTTTATCCCGATGAATATATATATATAATATAGATATTACAAATTGTAAAAAAATCACAAAGAAACACGTACATATTGCATAAAATTTCTATATTTAAAATTTGTAACTTACAATAATATATTGCAAAAGACAGTTGTATGTAATAGACAATCAAATTTGATATTTTAGATAACCTGCAGCGGTAAAAATAGGATTGCCTAGTTATATTTATATATAGTTGTAAATATTTCCCATGGAAAACAAATTTCCAACCAATTCAGAAATGCATTATCTAAAATTCACAAATTTACGATGTCACATCCCCACTCCATAAAGATTTAACAATTTATAAATAACAACAATTTTATGTCCATCTAGAACAACGTCCATAACATTGAAATGGTGAAACAAGTTTTAAAAAAACTACTTGTGAAGAGCATAGTAGGTACAAATTCACAAAAAATCCACTCGAGCAAGTCGGTCCATAGCACCGACTTGCTTGAATGGGTACTTTGATTTAAAGTAATGAATTTTAGTGATACATCACCTTCTAGTATGATTTGGCAATCATAGGTTGGCTGTGGCGAGAGTAATATGTACTAGCTATATCATGTAAGGTATTGTTAAATATTATGTACAGATGTATATAACAACATCTATATCGATTTTAACCTTTCATGACTTTATTCAATGAGACATCATTGTTCTTCTCTTGTCTTTAATAGTTTGCTCTTTAAATTTAGTTAGACAGTCAGTCAGTTAGAGTCAGAGATTTGCAAAGTATTTAACAAACCTTCGAAATAAGCTGACTAATCTCTAGGCCTATTAGTGTTCTTTTTTTTCGAGTGCTTATATGTTGCTATTTTTTTTCGGCGGGTCACTTCTAACTAACGAAAAAACGGGGGATCTGTTAACTAGTTCGCATAGTTCGTCATTGAGAGCTCTCTTACAAACTAGTTTATTGAAGAACTAAACATGACTATTCTGTTCTCTTCTAATTCCCTAGGGCTGTGACTACACTAAAAATAAAATTCTATTTTTAATCATTAACTCTCTGTACAGTATTTACATAATTACACTTTTATATTCTACCAAATTTAAATTAATGGTTTTACGAATTATTCCTATGAATGCAGAATGTATGTATCTAGTAATATTTATTTTTATTGACTTAGTGTTTTTCAGACAAATTATCTAGTGAGATCATTTTTGGTTTTGTATAGATAAGGAAAAATGCACATAATTATGGTACCATATTTGCACGTATATAATATCTTTAATGTTACTAGTTACCAATGTATATACATATACAGTAAACTCAAATATAATCTTTTATAGCCACGTTTCCACCAAATATATATTTTGTTTTTTACAGTACCTACTTATGCTATTTGTGTTACAGAATGTGATAGATGTAATTTATGCATACATCTACATACATGTTTACATGTTTTTTATGCTTATGTACCTATCTACTTAGAAGTTACGACAGGAGTTTACATCACAACAAACAAAAATTAAGTAATTTAGTGGAAACGGGATTTCTTTTATTTTCTACGAGATCTGTTGACGTGGCATAATAGGTACTGAATCTCAAACAAAATTTTCCATTATATGTAGGTATTATAAGATTTGCGCAACTTTTTATTTAACACATTTAACTTTTTAACACAGTTTAATGTTACAAAGTTTAATTGTATATTATATAATTTATTTACATTTATGCATAAACTGTATTTTACATTGGCTCTAATTTTGAAGTCCCACAAATCTAAACCAAGCTATTAAAAAGACATCTTATAGAAAGCACGATTATGATTGAGAATCCTACGAATATGGTTTTGTTTATTAAATGGCACTTCTACTTAAAACGGTCCGATCTATCACTGATCACACAAAAACGGATCCTGTGCGGGTACTTCGACAGTTTAATATTGCATGTCGTAATATTTGAAATCGAAATTTGTAGGCAGCAGGGAATTCACGTCTGTATACGTGGACGTATGACTAGTGGTCGTTGCTGTAGACTTCATGCACAGGTCCATAGCCATGTGCCGCAGTCGCTGACCAATTCTTGACCTTCTGCCAGCGCCGCGGCCAGAGAATCAATGATCGGTACTGAAGTAAGAATTTTGCATGAGATACAGCTTGTCAATCGGGTTTACAACCGCCCCTGTGCCTAAGTTCAAGGGCTCGTGGGAGGGGTGAGTGTTATGCTGGTGGGAATGGTGCTGCACCTCAAGGTTCTGGAGGCTCATTGTGTCCGATGCACCCTCGTCGAGCTGGTCGAAGTTGCTCCCATCGAGCGATATGTCGGAGCTGCAGAAGCTGTCGCCCGAATGCGCTGGGTAATCTGGAAATATACATTGGTATAGTTAATAATTAATTACGAGACTTGTTCGTCCACTTGTTGGTCGATATTGTGAACTAACGTAATTACTTTAGTTCATAATGTTTTTCAATTTCACCTTAATACTTACACCATGATTATTTAACATATTTTTTTAGGGTAGAATTGACCATCTAACGTAGTTTCATTCATTAATTACTTTAAATAAATTGAAACTTGATTATTATTATTATCTATAATTTAGCATGCTCGCTTACTTACCATCAGGTGAATATGGCAAGTTAGGATTGAGAGGCTGGCTCGACGTGGAATAAGAGCCATCCAGACCCAAGTAATTGCCGTGTTCGCTTGACGGCGACTCCTGTTTTATACTTTTTTCGTCTTTATCCTTCTCTTTTTCATTGTTCTTATCTCCTTCTTGCTTAGCTTTCCTCTGAATCTTTTTCATCTTAGCTCTCTGATTTTGGAACCAGACCTGCACAACTCTAACGCTTAGGCCGGTGTCTTTCGCTAGCGCCTCGCGAACTTTACGGCAGGGTTTCGGGCTCACTTCGAATGAAGCTTTAAATTGCCGTCTCTGCGCCGATGTTAGTATAGTCCGTGGTCGTTTCGGACCTCGCCGCCCATCGCGTGGCCTTTCAGAATCATCGATTATCATGTCATCTTCCGCATGTTGCATCAAATACATTTCCTTCTCGAAATCCTGACGGCAGAATATTTGACCAGCCCTTATGACATATTGTTCGCCTTTTTGCAATGGCTGACAGCACATCACACAAACGAAGCATTGTATGTGGAACACGTACTGCTGGGCTCTCATTACCATCTCTTGCGGCAATAGGCGGTCGCCGCATCTCGTGCATTTAACTCCAAACAATCTATGGGACAATAAATAAATAATAGGTAACACGCGGAGTTATGGATAACGCTCAGCATTTCGCCAAGCAATTTCGCCAAGCAATAAAATTCGTTTTGCAAGTATATAACTCTTCACCTGTATTCAAATATATTTGCAAGATATACATTAAGAGAAGGGTTCAGAATTTTATTAGAGATATTACCTATCATAGTCGGGTTTGCAGTAGAGCTTGGCGTTTCTGGTGTAGCACGTGTGTGCGAGGGGGCACCCACAGACGCAGCAGCTCAGGCAGTGCTCATGCCATGACAACTCCCCTACGCGCATGAGGTACCGATCTTGGATCTTCTGCCCGCAACCCTCGCAGATCTCGACTATCTTTTCACGCTTGATGCTAGCGTTCAGTTCTGTAGACAATAATACTTGTATTAGTAGCATGTGGAAGATCCCGTTCAGGTGAATAAACATTCGCTTTGTAAGTAGGTAACACTGAGAAAATGTCAATAACAAATGTAACAATTATTTATAGTAAAGAACAAATTAATTAATATTACACAGTAAGCAAAGCTTTTAAAAATAAATATATCACATATGTTATTTATTTATTTGAACTTTCTGGATAAAAACCCTAGTATACCTTTTATGTTTCCCTATTTAATGAGTACTCGCTTATTAATAATACTCAACTCATTTTAGCATTTTTTTAAGTGAAATAACAATTTAACTTTTTATGTTTGTTTAGTCCAAAAGAAATGAATTGTAATTTTCAAGGCTAATTTGAAATATTAATAAACTATACTGTTATGCTTGTAAAAGATTTAAAAATATGTCTGTTTAAAGCTTTATCGATATTATAGAGACATTAATTAGACAAATTATATTATTATATGTGCGGTAGTCACTGAAGTTATAAATAAATAGGTATATATAATAAGACGATTGTTTTGTAGGAAAGATTGTAGAATGCACAGTAAATTTTGATGTTTTAATTCCTATTGTAAATTTCCCAATTGTAACTCTTTTAATAAATTAACATTAGCGTACAAAAAGTGAAGTAAAATATTTTTATAATAGAATGTGCAGAACCGACTTTAAGTTATCAGAGTGTAGATGATCTTTGGAATCATTCATCATCTATTTCATTTCCTCCTGAATTATTTCTGAGATAAATATCTTATCTTTAAATGTTTAAAACTAAATAGGTATGTTATCTTTGAAATATAATAGGTATGTTTCATGAGAAAATGGTAACCTAATGTTAAATCTAATCAAAGTTACGTGCAAAATATACCTAAATCTATCTGTCCGTCACCAAAAAATAAACTAAATTTGTATTTCTGACGGACTCTCCTTAAAATAATCCTCGATAACAAACCAGAACTTAATTCAAAGGCGGCGATTCGCTTCCTGAAACGTTGCATGCAAATTTATTAAGCGAAATTTGGTCATGTCATTTTTTCACAATTACGTCGACAATTGACTATGTTTATGACTACTCCATCTGGGATGACTGTCATAAGGATATCTTTTATTTGTTTATTTTGAATTTACATCCGTCCTCGTAATATCATCTAATTTCATATTCAATTTAATTAAAATCACTTCAGGTATTTATTTGTAAAACTGAAACTGAAACACACTGACATAGAGATAGTGATGTACATGTAAACATTTTATTATATTAAAAATAAGAAGGTATTGTGTTTCTTTCACACAAACACACTTTCGCATTTACAACATAAATATCGATTAGTATGGTTGTATAGATTTATAAGATGAATAAGTGAATTAATTATTAATATTATTTTATCCGAAAGTCTTTGGGAATGGTAAAACTTTTAATTTGCAAAGAATTTTGGGTGCATTTGGAGGCAATACGCAAGTTTCTTTCTCATTTTTTTGTGACCAGTCTGCGTTCCAAATATTTGTAAAACAAAAAAATATATCTATTCAAAAGTGCTTGTATTGAGTTTACTTGAATATAGAAACAAAAACTATATTTTCAATAACATCGTATAGAAATAGAAATATTCTTTATTCAAATAAATATAAACTTAATATAAGCAAATTTTGTAATTTGGTTATATTAAGTGTACAAATCTATCTAATATCTATATATGTAAATTAGGTGACGTATTTATAAACAACAAAAATTAGTGTTGATAAGAAGAACTAATAAATAAGTGAACCAATGGTGAATATAGTTCATGAATATGAACTACACTACATTCACATGGCCAAATGCCCATTGACTGAAAGTACCTACGCTAGAATGAGTCACACATCCAAACACCACGTGTACTGAAACGATATCGAAAGTGGCATGGAACAGGTATGGAACGTGTAACAAACTTTCCGTAACAGCCACGACTATTACGAACTGTAGCGACGCGCCAATTTAGTGCTTATTTGCACACTCAGCAAATAAACACGAGGCGAATACATTTTACTTTGTACATATTTACTCTGCCTTTGTGAGAACGCAACCTAAATGTTACCTAGACACACAACAACATGTTGTATTTATATTGAAATATTATTAAAATATTTTAGTCTAAAAAAATTTGTGGTCTCAGTTATGAGAAATGACCTCTGTAGTGTAGCTGTTTAGCACTCTTCATGTCAGATCGCGGATTTGATTCCTCGCAGAGCACAAACATTTGTATTTATGCATTTGTATCGGGATCGGTGTAAAAAATGTATCTAAGTATTTTATCAGTTGTCTGAAGCTCTGCTTAACAGTACTAATAAATACCGATTGAAAATGCCACATTGCAAACATATATTATAAAAAATTTTTGAAAAATAAATGTATAGGTTGCGTCTCTGATACCACTTAGGGATACAAAAAATAGATGACAACCTATTCTTATATAAGCATGGCAACTATCACTGCGACACGGAAATGTTATATAATAAGTATCTTATGATTTTTATAGTGATGACGAAAATCATAAACTAACAAATATCACATCAAAACATCATCCTTATTAAGTAGATCCTCCGATACATCCTTAGAAGTAATACTTCTAAAAATGCAATTAGTAGACCGCCCTTAGAAATCTCTAAATAATAATATAATCGAGTGAACTTGAGTGTAGTACCTACCGCTACAACTAGGCTTACCAAGACTCAGGATTAGAAATCAAGATTATGTATATTTTTTAAGTAATCAGTATTTTTATTGAATCCTCTAGTTCCAAGCTAAGTAGAGCTTGTACTATGCGTACTAGATAACTGATATAAATACTAGTTATTTTTTTATAAATAGGTACATACTTAATGTACATAGGAAACACCGAAACCGATACAAATAATCATAGTTATGAATAGAAGTGTATGTACCATGCGAGGAATCGAACCTGCGACCATCGAAAGTAAAGCGGTGTGTAACCTGCTAGACCACCGAAGCTGTCTATAAGCAGCTTGTAATACCTTTTGATTAGAATCAAGCCACAATAGCCCGTAGACTGATAGAGGCGAGGAAAATTTTTATGAGATTTTAAAAACTAATTAAATTTTTACAGGAGAATCCCGGAATTCCGGGAGAGTTGGCAACCCTAACTACGATGCGTAGGTACAGGCCTGTGCAAAATGTTGACCTAATCCATATTGGAAACGCCTAATTGGGCTGAAATTTAATCGGCATGCAGGCAATTTGATGATAATGTATTAATTCCAGGGATGTCAAACAGTTATTGAAAATTAATAGAAACGTGCTTAATATATCTAATAATGACGGCGTCTACCTAGTTCGATTTCACACCCGATACAAATATTTGTATTAATGAGTATGATAGTTTGTATTAGTATAGGAGATTTCTATGTATATTATGTCTGTATTTACAAAAAATGTATCTAAGTATTTAGGTATATCAGTAGTCCAAAGTACAAGCTATGTTGCTTATTTTTAGTTATTTAGCTTGGGACTAGATGACGCTGTGTGAATTGACTTGAGATATTATTTTTATTATATGAAAGTCTTTCGTATGTTTGTAGTAAATAACTAGGAACGCGCCCTGGCTTCTCACGGACCCAAATAAATTGAGTTCCTCCTTCCTTATAAACTATTTTTTAAAGAATATTATCGAATTGGTTGTTTGTTGATAATATAGGAATTTATAAATCGGTTCGGTATAAGTTCTTCCAAGATAAATAAAAAATCATATCTATAATCATTATAATATTCGTTTCTGTGCTGAAACGTGAAAAGTACAGTCGAATTACTAAACTATACGCAGAAATACTCAAACGTTATGTCGAAATGGCTTGAAAGCAGAATATACCGTACGGAACGGCGTCTCAACACGCTCTTAGACTGCGGGTGGGGGTAGGGAGACCGCCCATGGGGAGTGGAGAGGCGTGCCCGGGTCACCCGGGTCACGGCGATCAGGCCGGGGAACAAAATGGAGTAACAGCCGTTCAAGCTTAATCGATGTGGGGAGTCACGTAATAGGATGCGAGAATTTCAGTATCACGTGACACAAAAGTGAAAGTTGTATCTGCAGCTCTTACTAATACGCGCTACGTCATTGACAACGCGCGTGTGTGTACGGGTCATGTTAACTTCGTAACATCGAGTCAGGCTCGGAAAGTAGGTTCTGTTTATGCACTAATCGATTTATGTACACCACACGTAATATACTAATACTATACCCTCATGCTATAACCCTTACTCTTAAGGGTAAGGCAGACGTACCTATATATGCTAAAATTATATAGAGGTTTTTGTTATTAAGTAAATTCCGTATTTACTCTAGCAATTTTATAAAATTACTGTTTCAAATTCTTACAAGAATTCGAGTAGTAAGTCTTTTTTTTAATACTTTCCCTTGAACAATTCACACAATGCAAATTATTCCTAAGTTAAGCGGAACTTAGCGGGTAGGTACTACACAACTACTATAAATACTTAGATATTTTTTCTTGTAAATACATACTCCTTTCCCTGTTATTAATAGTCCACCCACCCTTCATGCTCTGTGAAAATCCATGCGATCATGAGTCTCTCGGAATATACATAGAAAACATCCGTACCGATACAAACTATCATACTCGCGAAAACAAATGTTTGAACCCCAAACCATTAGAAGTAAAGCGGTGTGCTAAACAGCTACCCTACCACCGGGGCTGTCAAAATTTGAAACGCATTGTTCAAGAGTATAACATACCTTGTATATTATGTTGATATATACGAAACTAATGAATCTTACTAATACTATAATATGCTACTAATGCGAATATTTGTGAACATAGAAAAATAAATAAAAATAATATTTTTTCTATTCTACCACTCATTCGGAACGCAGACTCATCACAAGAAGAATGAGCAAGAAACTTCTGCGTTGCTCTTTTGAATAAATGTTATTTTAAATAAATAAACAATAATATTTTATTAATTTTATTT